TTATTAATGAATTAATAAAAATAATTAAAACTTAATTAAAAAAAGGAAGCTTTTCTCTTTAAGCTTGTGTTTGGATTGGGGTGAAGATTTGAGAGAGTGAATCTGAGGTTATTTGAGTATATTTGGGAATTGTTTGGATCGAGGAAAAGATAATGGATTTGAATAAATTTATTGTAGTTTATGTGATTGAATATAGTATAATTGAATGATATTATTTATAGTATAATAATCAAATTACCCTTGTGAGGTGGAATGGATAAATTAAGTAGAATTAGAAGATGAGGACAACATGGACTCTACATGTAAAAAATGCGATACAATTGTAAACAAGAAACAAGCTTATATAGTGCATGTAGAGGGATGTAGTTGTGTCATTACTCATGTAGAGCGAATCTCTACAACTTTAATTCACGTGGGTCACCGTTTGCATGAGGTTATTTATGTCATTTTACCTCACTTTCATAGCAAATACATATCTTTCTTCACTCCACTATGAGGGTTTCCCACTACATAGAACCTATATCCAAATCAATACAAATCTATCCAAATTCGTAGATACAAACAAGGTGATATCACTGCAAATACTCATTCACAACTCTGCATAAACAGTAAATGTGTAGAAAACATAATAGATAAGCATGCATTTAATGAAAAGAAAAAGTAAATAAAAATTTAGTTATAGATACACGTGGATGAGGGGAGGAGATTTATAGGAAAAAATAGAGAAAAGAGAGAGAACGAAAGGAAAAAAAAGAAAGGAAAGAGAAAAAAAACAATTTTAGAAACAAATTTTGGTACATCATCTCCAGATATTGTGGATGGAGGTTGAACCTTAGAGATTGAAATGAGTAAATATCAGTTAAAGAATAGTTAAAAATTGTGTTCATTTATCCTGACTAGTCATTATAAAAATCAATTCAAATCTTCATAATATAAAATAAATGGGATATAATGATGAAGTTGAAAAGGTGATTTTATATATATTTGATATTATATTATTTGACATGATAATTATTCTCACTTTCATATTGTTATCTCTTGTGCATGTTACAACTAAAATATCAACCTAAATAGATGGAGACATGAAGATAGAAGACAAATATCATTAATAAATCAATCATTTTTAGAAGAAAAGTGTATGTCACTTTTAATAATTGTTTTTTATACGTAAATAATGTAAACTTGTAAAGTTCATATATATATATATATATATATATATATATATATATATATAAACATTTATCTCATGTCTTACTTTTATCAAGATTTAGTATAAAATAATCATCTCCTATAATATGGTTAAATTAACGTGATAGAAATAGACGTCACAAAAATGAATAGGAATATATATTAGGTATTCATTAGATCAGAAATTGACTGAATTATACGTAAGAGAAATTGTGAGGTTACATAGAGTTCCATCTAGTATTTTATATGATAGGAATCCTAGGTTTACTTCTAAATTTTAGAGGAGTTTACATTAAGTCTTAAAGACTAAATTTTATCTTAGCTCAGCTTATCATCCTCAAATTGATGGACAGTTAGAAAGGACCATCCAATCCTTAACATATTTATTGAGAATGTTTGTACCAAAGTATTCTGGTAGTTGGGAATGATACTTGTCATTGATTGAATTTACTTACAACAACAATTCCCGTTCTAGCATAAGTATGACACCTATGAGACATTATATGAGAGAAAATATAGAACACTCTTATGCTGGTTTGAGACTAGAAAAAATTTAATCCAAAGTTCTGACATGATTCAACTTACCATGGAGAAAATCATAATGATTAGATTAGGTAAAAATTGAGAACAACTTAAAGTAGACACAAGATATATTGACAAGAAAAAGTGATCCCTTGAATTCTAATAATATGATCATGTATTCTTGAAAGTATTACCTACAATTGGAATTGGTAGAGTAATAAAATCACACTCCTCAATTTATTGGTCCTTATCAAAATCTCAAAAAGATAGGTCATATTGCTTATCAAATTTATTTACCTCATTTTCTTTCTAATCTTCATAATGTATTTCATATATATCAGTTAAGAAAATATATTTTGGATCCTTCTCATGTAATAATGTCGGATACATAGATACAAATACAATTAAATGATAACCTTACATTTAAAACATTGTTTGTACAATACCAATAAGAAGATCAAACACTTGAGAGGTAGACAAATTCTACTAGTGAAGATTGTTTGGAATGAATCACTAGAGATGTTACGTGAAAATTAGAAGAAAATAAGAGAAAATTACACTCATTTGTTCTAAACAATAAAAATTTGGATAACAAATTTATGTAAGTATGACGGAAATATAACACCTCAAAAATTATCATAAAAAATTTCCAAATATAATATAATAAATTATAATATTCTGGGTAATTCAGATATTTTTATAATAAAATATAAAAAATTATTGTTAAATTATTATTAAAATAAATGAAAAAAATATTATTATTATTATAGTAAAAAACATATAATAATAAAAACAATGATTAATTAATAAAAATAATTAAGAACTAATTTAAAAAATAGGAAGCATATCTCTTTAAGAGGTAAACATGCATTTAATGAAAAGAAAAAGTAAATAAAAATATAACTATAAATACATGTGGGAGAGGGAGAGGGTAGGAGATTTATGGGAGGAAATAAAGAAATGAGAGAGACTAAGAGAAAGGGCATTAAGAGAAAGAGAGAATAAAAGAAAAACAATTTTAAGAAAATTTTGGTTGTTAAGTGATATGTTTATAATATATTTTTTTAACTCACGTTGATTGTATTTTATATTTATTTATTTTTAATTATGTATTGATCCTATTATATTTATTTTATTTATCTTCAGTTTCGTATTAGTTTTGTTTTATTTTTATTTTATTTATATTTAATTATGTATTGATTCTATTTTATTTATCTTCGATTATAGATCAGTCCTCATTTAATTATATTTATTTATTTATCTATATTTACACATTGGTCATATTTTATTTATCTCTAATTACGCATTGATCCTCATTTATATTTATTTATTTACCTCTATTTTATATTTATCTTTAATTTCGCATTGGTTATTGTTCATTAATTAATATTTATATTATTAATGGTTGTTTAAATTCTCTTAAACATTAAAATATTTTATTTATGAATATTTGACGATATATTATAGATGAAAATTAGACTTTGAGGATTAAAATAAGTAAATATCACTTAAAGAGTGATTAAAAATTGAATTTATTTATTCTGATTAATCACTACATAAATCAATTCAAATATTCATAATATAAAATAAATGGGATACGATGATAAAGTAAAAAATATGATTTTATATATTTTGAGATTATATTAATTTACATTATAATTATTCTTATTTTCCTATTGTTATCTTTTGTTACAACTAAAATATCAACCTAAATAGATCGAAATATTAAAAAGACAAATATCATTAATAAATCAATCATTTAAAAAAAATATCAATTATAATAATGATTTTTCATATAAAAATAATATAAACTTATAAAATTCGTATATTTATTTATATAAATGTATAAAAATTTTTAAAATACTCGTATCTTAAATATATGAGTAAATTAAGAAAGTCCTTCACAAAAATGAATAGGAATATATATGGCAAGTTGAACACATGCAATAAGGTTTCCAGGGGTAATAAATTATCAATTAGATAAAACGTGTCTCGGAAGAAGCATGGAGCAGTGATAACAAATTTCCCACATTTAATGCAGTATTAGGATTCAAAAGCAAAAAAGATGAAGTTAAAAGTAAAAATATGAGCTATATATATTAGGTGATTAAAATGAATAAGGTAATTATGTATCTACCGATTCTAATAATTTAAAAAAAAAAGTAATTATTTAAAATACTAGATATCATGCATAAAATAAGAATAAATATCTCATAATTTTGGGATAATTATGATATATTATCTTATAAAGTATTTATATCTTTTTCATTTAGATATAAACCTTTACAATAATACTCTCTCATCATTAACATACTTTGGAACACATCGAAGGAGACGTCATAAAACTCGATCAATCCTCGAAATTTAAACAAAAACAAACTTGATGATCTAACCATTCTTTGGAAGATAAATTATGATATTATATTAAAAATAAATAATTTAGCCCTAAAATTATAATTTGAATTTTCTAATTAAATATTTTAACATGGTTACCTATACTATATCTTTTTTATATCCTTACATATCTTAAATTAATTACCTAAAACATAGTACGCAATTAGTTAGACTGATAAATTTAATATTTTTATTTAAGAAAGTAATTTATAGTGATTTTTTAGTAGAGTTTTGTGGTTGGTGTATATATTAATTAAGCAGGACTATAATTATACTATTTTTATATATAATCATTAAAGAAAAAATCAATTACAAAGTAATTTTTTTCCACTGTTTTTCTTTAAGATTTAGTTAATGTGTCCTTTTATTTTATAAATAATAAAATGAAAACTTTTGTTTACATTTTATTCACAGTTGAAACGTTGGTTTGAAACATGATAAAGTCAATGTATATGTAATGGATGAGATCAGGAAGAGAAAGAAATTTGGTGATGGTTTTTGTCACCGTTTGGTTGAATTTTGCAGGCAATCAAAGTTGAGGATTGAAAGCTTTAACTTGAGTATTGATTTTGTCTACGCAATTAAAAACCATTATTTCTGTGACAAATTCTGAGCGTCATCACAAGCAGTATCGATATTCATAGTAGCTGAAAAGAGATACAGAGAAACTATATATGGTGAAATAAAAAATGACTTATGTATATATTAATTCATTAAAGAATCCTATTTGAGATATACATGGATCTTTGCATTTGTTAGATCCGCGTGCATGTTTCTACATATGTTGACAGATAAATTGAAAGAGAAAAAAAATGAAGAAAGTGATGAAATAATTGATCATAAGTGAAACATAAAGTGTGTGTTTTAGGGTGAGAAATAGAAGGAGATGAATGAAATCAATGACCAGGGCCTTTAGGACTTGGTCCAGAAGCCAAACGCTGCATCCAAAAGGCCATGGTTTTCTTGGCTTGTTCATAGGCTGAAGAGGTGTAAGATTGGAGGTTATTAGCTCTGGCAAATGCAAACTCCTCAGAGTGAGATAAAACCCTGGCCTCCACCCTAATTTCTCCAGCCAAAATGGCAACAATCATAACAAGAACTACCAGATTCAAAAGGGTGCATGCTTTTGAGAAACCCATATTGTTGGGAAAAGTTTGGTGAAAGCTAGAAAGAAGGGTTGTTTTTGTGGGTGTGTAGGTAAGGATGACATTAATGGTGGCATTTTATAGTGAAGAAGGAACAAGAAAGTGTGTTAGAATTGTGCTTCTCATTTTGGACTCTAATCAGCTTTTTCAGTGGACATTTTGAACGGATTACGTGTTGACCAAGGATATAGGAAGTTGCCAAGCAACACCGAGTGTTCGTATATTTCTATATTATTTATTGCACTATTCTAACCAAATTTAAAATGTCAATTTTAACATGTATTCTAAAATTCAAAGATACTATGAGCATAAATGATAATTTAAAAAAAAATACTAAGGATAATTAGTTGATAGGGTAAATTTATTTACACTAATAAATGCACAAAAAGTAAAATCAAGTATACTATATATATAATTTGTTATAAATTGTGTCACTCAATTAAAATATGACGCACATGATTTGCCTGGAAAAGAGAATACATGGTTTCATGTTGAATATGTCACACAGTGTATTAAAGTTGAATGAGTTGAAATTGCCAATGGGTCCTTGACACGAAGGGCAAATTTAGGCAAAGGTGAAAATATATTATGTTAGATTAAGTTTATCTTAGTGATTTAGCGTGATCAGAAAAATTGAATTGACAAATACTCATTGGATTTGACTATGCCACAGGAAAACGAAAGGATAATAGGTTACACCTAACCCATTTATTTAGAATATCACACACTCACACCTAGTTTTTTAGTTTTTGACCAAGGAATTTAATAAATTTCAGCTAACTACCCCGTTTTTCTTTTTTGCAAATTAAAAGAAAGAAAATCTTCAAAGACTTGTTATTAGGGCATGTTGAATATATTGGACAAATAGCAAAAGACAATGACGGGTGCACACACATGCTCCATGACATATTATCTTGAATCTTCAATTGTCATAACTATTATTTTATATTAATTAAATAAGGCTAAATTATGTTTTAACCCTTCAAATATTACTATTTTTATTTTAAAAATTACATTTAATCTTAAAAAAAATATTCTAATAAAATTTAGAACTAATATTATAATCAGAGTAAATGAATAATAAATTTTCTTAGATATTTAGAAGAAAATATTTCTATTAAATGTGATTATGCTCACCACAAACATGATTGTTAATGGCATTTAGAAAAGAAACATCTCATACTTAATACCATGCTTCATCCGTAAACGTTTAGTATTTAGGTAAAGAGATAAACAAAATTTAATAAATAAAAAAAAGGAAAATTTTAAGACTATTTAAGAATAATTTATTAATATTTGATAAAGGATAAAATATAAAATTTTTAGTACGAATATAAAGTATTATATGTTAAAAGAAAATAAGAATAAACAACATAGTTTTCTATAGAATGTCATATGTCTAATAGAGAAATAGTGTATTGAAAGAAACAAAATCCAGGGAAACTACTATGGTTTCATGCATTGCATTAGTATTTAAAATTTAAGTAAAATTTAAATATAAAATTACAACAATAGATATCTAGTCATCATTGAAGAGTATTTAATTTTGTTAGAAAAATATAAATAATGGCATACGATTTTTAAAATTGAGGAGAAACTTATGGAAATTAAATTATATAAACTAAGAGATATGATGTTTATTGATACAATTTATCAAAATTTAAATATCAAATTCAAATTAAGATTGATTAAAATTATAATAAATTTAAAATAAAATTATATAAAAGGAAGATAACGTCCATATCAACATTCAAAATTTAGAATTAAATCAAATTCAAATTGGATTTTAAGTAACAGTGTTTGAAATTGATAGAATGTTAGATACTCAGTTCAAGAGAAGTCACTTGACTTAATGATAAAGAAATAAGCTCTTAAAATATTATCCTTTAAGAATGAAGACGTAATTTTTTTATTATAGGAGTCACTTATCTCACTGTAATCTAATTTTATGAAATCATATATTGTTATCATATTATCGTTTTGGTTATGATAAATTAATTTATAACCAGGTCGTGCATAGATTACAAGTATGTAAGGTTGAAGTTCTTTTTAATTGATCTCAACAACTTTACTCGTGAATCATTTTCGATTATTTTAATACATTGACATGGAATATTTCAGTTCATAGTTTGAATGCTTCATACGAATGTTTCTCCGTTCACATTTACTTTCAAGCTTATATTTAATAAAACGAAATGAAAGAACTTGTCGCCATACTTGAGAGTTTTCCTCTCTGTTTTTACATTATTAAGAATTGGCCTCACTTTTATCAGCAGCAAGAAACTGATAGCAACACTACTGATTTTGGCCCAATTAATGATAAGTTGATTGGCCAAGGGAGAGAATACCATGGAAAGGTCTAGAAGGGGACACAAGCTACCAAATTATCTCAGCGACTACGTCACCAGCTAAAATAGTCCTTATGTTTTATACTATTTCATTTTATTAAATATTTCATATTTTGCTAAGTTGTATTTCTGTTTTAGATACCTTTTGCTGTAATATTTTCTGTTTCCACAAATTACGGACAACCAATCATTGGTGACGTGTAAGATATTATATCTTATGGAATGAAATGAAAAAAAAGAAGAAGTATTTTTTTTACTTTCCTTCTCTATTCTCCCAAGAGGTACCTTGATCCTCGAAATCAAGGCAAATCTTAATCCTATCAATTTGGTGCTTTCATTGCATTCTCCACCATGGCTGAACACAACACTCGTTCCAAAACCATTGACGACGCCATCCTCCGCCTCACACAAAACTAAGCCCAACTCACCACCTCACAAACCGAACTCAATACCAAGCTCGATTTCATCCTTTCTCAGCTTTCCCAACTCGACACTTCTTCAACATCCCCTCCAACCCACAACAACACCTTCAAACCACACATGAAACTAGATGTCCCCAGGTTCGATGGTCACGATGCAACCGGTTGTATCTTTAAGATCAATCAATTTTTCGAATACCATTCCACCCTCGACGAGGACCGTCTCAAGGTGGCTTCCTTTTATATGGATGGGGCTGCCCTAAGCTGGTTTCAGTGGATGCATCAGAATGGTCTGCTTCAGTCATGACCCATTTTTATTCAAGCTCTGGAAACCCGCTTTGCCCCTTCCTTTTATGAGGATCCTCGTGGCCTTCTCTTCAAACTTTCCCAGCATGGCACCGTCAACGACTACCTCACAGAATTTGAACAGTTAGCTAGTCGGGTTGTTGGTCTCCCACCTTCTTTTCTTTTAAGTTGCTTTATATCTGGTCTCACCCCTGAGATTAAGAGGGAGGTTTTAGCTCTGCAACCACTACAATTTACGCAGGCGGCGGCTTTGGCTAAGCTACAAGAGGATAAGTTCTTGGATCTGCGTAAGGGGACACGTAACCGTTTTCCCTTTCCCTCTCCACAACTTCCAAGTTCACCCTCTACTCCATCACATTCGATCCGTTCCCTGCCACCACTCCTCCCTTCACCTCCCAAGACAAACTATAAGAAGCTTACCCATGAGGAAATACTGACCCATCGAGAGAAGGGTTTATGTTACAATTGCAACGAGAAGTTCCACCCGAGGCACAAGTGTAAGGCTCGTTTCTTCCTCTTGGTTCCTGAGACTCCTGACGAGGACATTCTCTCATCGGATTCCCCTTCCAACCCTGACCTGGATCCATCTCTTTTGGAATTTGAGTGTAAAAAGCTCTCTTCAACCCAAATTAGCTTTAATGCTCTCTCTGGTTTGCCAGCTCCAAAGACTCTTCGTCTAATGGGTCTTATTTCAAAGCAACAGGTCACTATTCTCGTGGATGGAGGCAATACACATAATTTCATCCAAGATCGTGTGGCCAAATTTTTGAACTTACCATCCCAGCCCACCCCCACACTAAAGGTGATGGTTGGTAATGGTAGCGTCATTGAGTGCCATCAGATTTGCCCAGCTATCCCAGTTTCCATTCAGGGTCAAAGTTTCACTATTGACTTTCATGTGCTGCCCATTAGTGGGGCGGAAGTGGTTTTGGGGATCCAATGGCTAAAACTTTTGGGCCCAATTGTCACTGACTACTCCAAAATGACAATGCGTTTTATGCAAGATGGTCGCATGGTTGAACTTAAGGCAGATATTCCTTCTGGGCCTAAGGACATTTCAGCTCATCAACTAAAACAGATTTTTCAAACCCATTCAGGTGCAACCTATTTTCACATACAAATCCTCCCACATTCTTCCCCTTCCATTACAACCGTCGTCACCCTACCTTCACACACTGATCCTTTTATCTCTTCTCTTCTCCACAAATATGAACCTCTTTTCCTTTCCCCTATGTCTTTACCTCCTCCACGCAATACCGACCACCACATTCATTTACTCCTTAACTCTTCCCCTATCAATGTTCGACCATACCGTTACCCACATTTTCAGAAATGTGAGATTGAGAGGCAAATTGATGAAATGCTTCAGGGAGGGTTGATACAACCAAGCAATAACCCATTTTCCTCACTCGTCCTTTTAGTTAAGAAGAAGGACGGTAGCTGACGATTCTGTGTGGATTTTCGAGCTCTCAACTCAATTTCTGTGAAGGACAGATTCCCATTGCCCACCATCGACGAACTTCTTGATGAATTGGGCGGTGCCCAGTGGTTTTCTAAGCTGGATCTTCGTCAAGGGTTTCATCAGATTCGTATGAATGAGGCTGATATCTACAAAACTGTTTTTCGCACTCACATGGGTCATTATGAATATAGGGTCATGCCCTTTGGCCTTTGTAACGCTCCTTCCACCTTCCAGGCTACTATGAATGATCTGTTAAAGCCAATCTTGCGCAAATTTGTCATCGTTTTCTTCAATGATATCTTGGTTTATAGTAAGTCCTTTGAGGACCACTTACACCACTTGGAACGTACGTTTCAGATACTGTTTGAGGGCCAATTTTTCCTTAAGGGGTCAAAATGCATCTTTGCTCGACAACAACTTGAGTATCTAGGTCACATTGTTTCTGCTAACGGGGTGGCCGCAGACCCCTCCAAAATCCATGCCATGGTGACTTGGCCAACACCCACCTCTACTCATGCTTTACGTGGATTTTTGGGGTTGACAGGATTTTACCAACGCTTCATTAAGGGTTATGCCTCTATTGCCTCTCCCCTTACTACATTATTGAAGAAGGATAGTTTTGTCTGGAGTCCTACTGCTCAATCTGCATTTGAGCATCTCAAGAAGGCCATGACCGAGGCTCCTGTTTTGGCCCTTCCGAATTTCACTCTCTCTTTTCAACTTGAAACTGATGCTTCAGGGTCTGCCATGCGTGCTGTTTTGATGCAACACGACCATCCCATTGCATTTTTTAGTAAGCCCTTCTGCCCTAAGTTGCTCCGCTCATCCACTTATGTTCGCGAGTTACATGCTATCACATCTGCTGTGAAGAAGTGGCACCAATACTTGCTCGGTCGCCGCTTTATTATTCTCACAGATCATCGCAACCTCAAAGAATTGATGTCTCAGATGATCCAAACACCCGAGCAGCAAGTTTACCTTTCCAAGTTATTAGGATATGACTATATTATACAATATAAGGCAGGGAAACATAATGTTGTTGCTGATGCACTGTCCAGGCCTCCTGATAACACACAGGCTCAGTTTTTGGTTCTCTCTATGCCTCGATTTGTCTTTCTGGATTAGCTGCGCAAGTCTTTGTAGGATAGCTCTGAGTTCTCATCTTTGCTGGCTGACGAGCGTAATGACCCGAATGCCTTCCCCCTTTATATCATTCATAATGATTTTTTGTTGTATGATGGGAAATTATGATTGAACCAAGATAACCCATTTATTCCTCTTTTGTTGGATGAATTCCACACTACACCCTTGGGCGGTCACATGGGTTTCGCAAAAACCTTGGCACGCCTTCAGAGCAATTTTTTTTGGAAGGGAATGCGTTCCAGCATTCGTACTTTTGTCTCACAGTGTCACACTTGTCAACAGACTAAGTACGAAACACAGAAACCAGCCGGGTTACTCCAGCCGCTTCCCATTCCTCTAAATGCATGGGAAGATCTCTCTCTTGATTTTATTACTGGTTTACCCTCTTCCATGGGTCATTCTGTGATACTAGTCGTTGTCGACCGCTTTACTAAGGGGGCTCATTTTGGCACTCTCCCCACTCACTTTACTGCATTTCGGGTTGCACAACTTTTATGGTTTGCAAACACCATGGGATTCCACGCAGCCTTGTTTCTGACCGTGATCCCATATTTATCAGCAAATTTTGGCGTGAGTTGTTTCGTTTATGTGGGACGAAGCTCCGTATGAGTACATCTTATCACCCCGAGACTGATGGACAAATTGAGGTCCTTAATCGTACTTTGGAGCAGTACCTCCGTTCCTTTGTTCACATGCTATATCCCCCTTACTGAATGGTCCTATAATACAACCATCCACTCAGTCATCAGTTTGACTCCATTTCAGGCAACTTATGGCAAGCCTCCTCCTTCCATCCCATTTTACTTGACAGGATCTTCTACTATGGAGGCCGTGGATTCATTCCTTACCACTCGCCAAAACCTCATTACCATGTTGCGTAAGAAGCTTGAGAAAGCGCAGTTAGCCATGAAATCCACAACTGACCGTAGTCGGCGGGACGTTTTTTTTAGGGTGGGTGATTAGGTGTATATTCGCCTCTGTCCTTATCGACAACGTTCGCTCCGTCCCACTTCTTGTCCTAAGTTAGCCAAGCGCTTTTATGGACCATTCCGCATCACAGCTCGTATAGGTCCTATCGCTTATAAGCTTGATCTTCCTCCGAATTCACGCCTACATCCTATGTTTCATTGCTCTATTCTGAAGCTGCATAAGGGTCCTCTTCCATCAGTCACGGCTACCCTTCCACCTCTTGCACAGGATCACATGCCCATCATTGAACCACTTGCTATTTTGGACACGAAATTGGATCCTTCCACTATCCTGCCCACAAAGTTTGCTCTGGTTCAATGGAAGGGTCTTGCTCCAGAAGACACTACTTGGGAGCTTTGGTCTGAACTCGTTTCTAATTTTCACCTTGAGGACAAGGTGCCTTCGACAGCGGTGGGTATTGATAGCAACACTACTGATTTTGGCCCAATTGTTGATAAGTTGATTGACCCAAGGGATAGTAACAGAGAGAATACCATGGAAAGGCCTAGAAGAGGACACAAGCTACCAAATTATCTCAACGACTACATCACCAGCTAAAATAGTCCTTATGTTTTATAGTATTTCATTTTATTAAATATTTCATATTTTGCTAAGTTGTATTTCTGTTTTAGATTCCTTTTGCTGTAATATTTTACGTTTCTGCAAATTACGGACAATCAATCATTGGTGACATAAAAGATATTATATCTTATGGAATGAAATGAAAAAAAAAAAAAAAAGTATTTTTTTCACTTTCCTTCTCTATTCTCCCAGGAGGTACCTTGATCCTCGAAATCAAGGCAAATCTTAACCCTATCAAAACTTGTCCAAAAACAAAATATAATTACAATACCAAAGGGGATGCATCCTTATGATTTATGAACATGATGATGTTGCTAACCTTGCGGTTTTGGGGCATGCTATGACATGTTATACAGCATTGCTCCTCTCCTAATGAAGATTATCGATAATAGCAATTGTTGTGAGAATGTAGAGTTTTTGTGCACCTCTTGCATTTTAATAGGAATAAAAAGGGCTGTTGGTTGTGCATGTTATATATTACAATATCATCACACTGTTCGAATATTAGTTAATCAGATCATTTTTCCAACCAATTTTTGACCAGTACTGAACAATATCGTGATTGGGCTTTTAGCTGTACAATGTTGATATTGAAAATAGAGAAACTAAATCCAAGCTTACAATATGAAGAAACAAAAAAAGATTCCATGCTTCAAAATTCCTTCGCTCTTTGCCTCAATTGATCAAGTTCCAACTCAATCTCAGAGTCTCGAAATGGAATTCCAGTGTTGGTGCTAGTGGTGCCACTTCTTCCAGGAGGAAGGTCACCTTTCTGCTTGATTCATACAGCAAACAATTTAATGAAAAATATGATATGGAGCATGTACGTAGTATTGTATAAAACTTCCTTTTCGTCAAATTTTACTTCAGCAAAATATAATGCTTTTGGAAAAATAAAAAAGAAATTCCTGGTCTTTCAAAGGTTTACTAACTCCTAGTCACAAAACAGGGAAACAACTTGCAAGACAGATAATTAAAAAATTCTCATCCTATTACTACCCACACATAAGAAATATTTCTCATTTGAAGCTTACCTTTGAACCACCAGATAATTCTTTCTTCAAATTTGCAAGGTCGTCATCAACTGACGAGCTCTCAAGCAATGCAAACTGCAAAAATCAATTATTAATAGGTGCAGGAGAATGAAAACCATGAACTTCAAAAAACAATAATGTAAGGGAAAATTGTACTCATCTCCCTTAAGATTATGCTAAATGATGCTCACATCCCCTCTAATTATAAAGTTGAGATTCACTTTTCTCATGTTTTTAATAAAAAGACATTCACCTCCCTTATACTTTAAATAAATGAAACTTCTCTTATATTTCTAATAAAATAAGAAATACTTTACTTATTTTATTTAAAAATATCATATTGACTAAAACTTAACTAAAAAATTTATGAAAATGAAAAATTAAAGTTTTAAAATATTAAAAAAATTATAAACAAGAAATAAAAAATATATATTTTTTATAAATAAAATAAGGAAAGTGAGTTCTGCATTATCAAAAACATGATGGAGGTGAATGTCATTTATTAAAAAATGAGGGAATTATTGTTTATATAATAACTATAGAGAGTGCGAATGTTATTTTATTAAAATATAAAGGTGGGTATCTATTTTAAAACTAAAGGGAACCATAAGCGTCATTTAATATAATCTCAAGAGAGGTAAGTATAGTCTCCTAATGTATGAAGGAATAAGTTTTACAATCTTTGCTACTCCAAACTCCCCAATTCTAAGGCATGATAAAATACTGGATGATAAAGCCCCAAAGACTCGAGATAAAAGAGTCCATTTCTAGAAGCCAAGGACTTATATAACAAATCACAACATATATTTGAAACTTGGGCTTGTTCCACCGTATTTTGGGGTTCTGAGCTGTAAATTAATTATCTACCAAAGGAAAAGATTTACAGAAAGATGATTCTGCATTTCTGCTGCATGATTAATGAGCTCATGGGCTCAGGGTTTACTTCCTTAAAAGCTTCCAAGGAAATTATTTCTACATTTCACAAAAGTAAGCGAAATAGGAAAAGAAAGCTACATTATTATTGAATAGAAAACTAACAGTAGTGAATCTAGCTATAATCATAATAGTTCAGAAGATTTCGTTTTCCATTATTTTGAACATTTATGTTTCCTAAGAATAAAATAAAATAAAACAAATCTAGTTATCCCCCTTTAAATTCGTTCATTTCCATGCTCAACATATAATGCACACATAAACTTAAGCTACAAGGTATACAAACAATTACTACCTTTCCTTCAAGATCATCAGTTGTCAACTGACCAAGAGCTTCAGCTTGGGACTCCATTGCCATCACTATCAAGATAACAATAAACAATTACAGATAAATTCCATATACAATAATAAAAGCAGCATAGGAAAACCATAAATAAAAAAACTTTTGCAAATAATCACATATTTTTATTCCATTGATTAGGTTTTTTAAGCATGTCATATCATGTTAACAGCCAAGTTTCATTATTATAGATTTCGAATACTATTACACTTATTAGGATAATTAAGAATGAGCATGCATAAGGTCTAAATGTGCATAATTCACAAAGTATATATGTTCGGCTTAATCATAATGTATCATGATTATAACCCTTGTTATTTCTCAAAATCAAAACACATTCAAAATAAAAGAGTTTGTGAACCACTAGAAGCTTCAACGTGTCAGATGTTTCCTTGTTATTATAGTTTATCAATATACTAATAGTTATCAGTTTGAAAAAAGAAAAGGGAAGCCGGATAGGTAGCATAGAATCTCAAAATAACTCAGAGCATCATGTCAATGAAAGTATATGTTTGTATGTGGTCAATGGTATGCACATTACATATAAGAAAGGTTATATTATATATATATATATGTGTGTGTGTGTGTGTGTGTGTGTGTGTATTATTACGTATAGAAACAGCCAAAAGAACATGCAATGAATTTTCTTACCTTTCTCTTCCATCTTTTCGAAGGCCGAAAGAGCACTACTGGTATTGACATTTCCCAACATCTCACTCACCTTGGTTGCAGTCCTGAAGGAAAATCAACCAGCAACCATCACTATAAAACCCAGAAAAGACTTTAATAAGTACGGAAGTCAATGTGTAAAAAGAATTGAGAGACAAACTTTGCTGATTGAGCTCTTGCTTTCAGAGTATCCTTCTTCGACCTTGCCTCTTGTATCTTACTCTCCAAAAGCTACAAAATAAAAAATTATAGCTCATAACTGTGATAAATAAATGTTAGTTATAATAAAAATGACAGAAGTAGAGTAGTAAACTAAAATTGCTCAGCTGATTCCAATCATCTCCATAAGGAGGCAATTCTTACAATAGAGGAGGTAAAGTGGAGAGTGTTGTGCCCACTTCCAGCAAAAAAAACATTCCATCTAAATTTTTGAACTGCATTTTCCCCATTAACGAATTATAGGTCCAATTGTACATTTTAGGTTTTAGCCTAACAGCCAGAAATTAGTTTTGCTAAATTCTTTTTGCTACTTCCTTTTTCCTTTTATTCTATTCTCAACATAATTTCATATTCATAGCTAAAGAATAGACAGGCTCAGCAGAAGCTACAGGAGGATATCATTTTCTGATCAATTGTAGAACAGTGGAAGCTCACAAGTCTTATTTATTGTATGTATTTTTTAGGAGGTAAGATTTGCACAGAGATAATAGGGGTAAATTAATACCTTTACAATGTTAACAGCACAAGGAGTAGAAAATATGGTCTATGGATTCTGGGGTCCCCAAGGAAGAAAGAAAGAAACTTTTGAAACAGAAGGAGTTTAATGTGACATGTTGATGAAAAAAGGTCACCGTAGTGGGTAAAGTTGAATGCTAACAAAACATGGTGTAGAGTCACACCTACAGTTCCTTCATTAGGTATCACAGGTACAATTTGATTCACCTCCACAGTCCACCCAACTAAGAATATACTAATTTTCCACAAAAATTCATTAAAATAATCATTCATCGAAAAAAGCATTATAGTGTTCAAAACGATGCCCATTAATTTATGCTACCATGTAAATGGATGGAGAATCAAGATCCGAACCTTAAAGGTTGAAATTCCCAGTTTCTACTGCCACCAAATTCCAAACCCAAAAGAAAACTAGGGCATTAAAAAATACACAATCGTGCCTAAGTAATGTACACCAAAGGAGCTCATTTATAACCTAGTTACGATCATTGCATGTATAATGATTCTTTAGCATTCTTTTTTCAAAAAATAAATGTAGACCAAAGCAAAGTATAGCTCATAGTGGCCGTAAAAAGGACTAGGGAAACATTAAACTCAAGCAACACAGTTTATTCTTTCTAAGAACCACAGATACAACAATGATAACAAGGTTTTTAGAACATACAGACATAACATAAACAAGAATCAAACTAATACAAAATGATAAGCTTTATTAAGCTTTCATGATGTCACTCCATAGAAAGAGCTGGCTCAGCTATTCAGCTCAGTGCCTCAAAATCACTGTTTTCTAACACTTTAACACATAAGTGAAGATAACAATCTAGTGTTTTAACATACTGAGAATAACTTAGCTTACCCGTGTATTAGAGACAAGATTCTCGACAACAGTCTTTTGTTGGTCAAGTTGAGCTTTCAAAGAACTGGCATTATCCTGCAACATATTAAAAGCATAATGAGCTTTCCAATTCGTAATATGCATAATAAGGCATTATTTTGAAGATGCATTTTCCTATAAAAGATCAAACTTTGGCAATTCCAAATTTTTTAATCTAAAAAACTGTCATCAACATTCATATTTTCATCAATACTATCTGACATGAGCTGAAATGTAAACATGGAAGCACTTTAAAAAAGCTCAACTATTGTGTACTCTGTCATGTCGTCATCCAATGATTCTAAAAACTTCAGCTAATCAAAACACATTATAACCCTTGGCAATCTGAATGGTCTATTTCCTAGACCTACAGATTTGCTTCAATCAAGCTTTATATATATATATATATATATATATATATATATATATATATATATATATATATATATATATATATATATATATCACAAACTTTATTTGATGATTTCCACACCAAAAAATTAAACAGACAACTTTTAGAAACCTAATGTAGAAATTCAGACAAAAGGTAGCAAACAATCTTCAACAAAATGAGACTGTACCGCATAAGATTTACGCCTCTTAAGTGCTTCACGAGCAAGATCTTCTTCACCTTTCTGAAGAGCAAGTTGTGCTTTCCGATACCTATATCAAATAAAATAGCACAAAGGCATGTTTATATACCATATATATCATTAGCAAATTAAGATAATAACTCTTTCATACATTACCACTCTTCAGAAGCTTGTTCTGCAGCCTTGTACTTATTTTCCAACCGCTTTTGAGATGCCAATACCTCAAGAAACAGGAAAAAAAAAAAGTTTAATAAAATAAAGTTGAACAAATGGGAAAAATAACAATCTCTTTTGAAGTCAGTTTACAGCAAAATTGTTCGTATATAATAATAAAAACTTAAACAAGTAAAACAATTATAATGATTCTAAGAAACACAAGGCAACAACACATTCAACAATTTTTTTATAAAAAGAAATTAAAAAAAAAAAAAACGGATAATGAAAATTGTAACTAACTTGTGCAGTAGCTTGACGCATTTTCGTCAAGTCGTCGTTCATTTCCAGCACGGCTTGCTCCAATATTTTCTCCGGATCTTCAAACGAACTTATGATAGCGTTTGCGTATGACTGCATTACTAAGATGACAAAATCTAACCATAACGACAACGAGAATATTAAAGCTAAACCATGAAAAACTAAGCGACAGTCGTTTCGGTGTTTTTTTCACCTTCACAACTCTGGCGAACCTGTCAAAGAGGTTCATGCGAGCACCTAGAGCACCTCCACCACGCACAGGCTTCGCAATCCTCACCGCGCTCAGCTTCAGAACTTCCACTACAACAATTAAAAGTTAGAACAAGGTTAATTAAACTAATCACATGATAAAATGAAGCGTTTAAGCAATTAAATGAAAATTAACGATTGCGAGTAGAAGCAAGAAGAGTGAGAATACCTCCTCCGGCGCCGAAAAAGGAAGTAGTGAGAGGCTTCTTGACTACGCAGAGAGTGGAGGAGGAGGAGGAGGAAGAAGAAGATTGAAATGGCGCGGGGGCCAATCCCGTAAATATATGAAGTTTCGTCGCCATTTTTGTGACCAACTAAGCAGAAGGTATGCGGTTGCAGATAGAGTTGAGGATATTGCGATTTTGGGAATACTCCTCAACCTTGCTCCTCCTCACGCTCCTCCAAACTTGCAACCTTCATTTTCATTGGGCCAAAACCGAAGCTTATTATTCTCGAAGCTCACAAATTGGGCCCATCGCCCCATACCAGCCCATTTTGTAATATGTAATAAATTTTAATAATTTTATACTTAATAGTTTTTTTTTCGTATTTTTTTCTTTCATTTTTTTTTAAAATTCTGTAAATGATATATCTAATATTTATGTAGTTTTCATAATTTTGTTTTTCTAAAATATCATGAAATTATTTAACAGAAAAAATATGTGATTTTAACGTTAATATATATATATATATATATATATATATATATATATATATTAGATTGATATATATGCCAATTTAAATAATATTATCAATTATATGCTAAACAATTATTTAAATAATATATTATATCCATTACATAATTTAAAAACATTGATTCATTTAAAAATATTAAATATATTTTTTAAGATAAATTATTTCTTATCGTCTCAAATTTAAAAAATATTTTAATCTTTAAAATAAAATATTATGTTAGTCCAAAGAATTATAAACAATTTAAAAAAAATCATTTTCCTTTTCAAATTTTAAAAATAAAACATTTTAATTTTGAGAAATTATAATAATTTAAATTTAGAAAACTAATTTTATAATCACACTAAATTTTAAGAGTAAAACCATAATTTAAAAAATAGTAACAATTTAACACTAAATGAACAAAATTTAAAACAAAAACAATAAAAAAATATTTAGTCTAATTTTATTTCTATCTGCCACGTGGTAGATACAAACACTTGCTGCAACTCCAAGACATGTTTGAGAAGATTCAGTTTATCCATTCTGCGGACATCATCGCATGACACCCTTGGATATGCCTGCCATGGCTTCCTCTCTGATTCTCCCACTAGGTAACTCCATTTGCTTCTTCTCTTCTTCATATTTGCACTTGTTTCCTTCACACCACAACCCAATTGTTTTGCTCTCTATCTCAACAATGCATGGCATGTCCTTAAAAAGGCTTTTTGAAAACACAAAAATAAGTTATCTTGTGTTAATATATATCATTAATAGGAAGCATAAAGCATTTGACATTCATAGACTGAATTCAGATCGATTTCTGGCGTAGTGTTGGCCCAACTTCCCTGTTTCAATGGTACTGTTACTGTTTCTTTAATTGTCGCAATTGTTTTCTGAATTTGAGTTCCCATTGGGTAGGTTCTACTTGTGGTAAAAGCCCCTCTTTTACTTCCCAACGGAGCATTCTGGTTGACAAACTTCGAAGATTAGTTGTTAAGGTCAAGTCCTCAGAGACAAGGGAATGTACCAGTGTTGTATTTAATGTCAATTCACGTCGAGACTTTCTTGGGTTGGCTCTAGGAGTAACAGGTCTCTTAATCGGTTCATTGGATGCTAGTGGAGCTGGTTTGCCCCCAGAGGAGAAGCCAAAACTATGTGATGACACTTGTGAGAAAGAGCTTGAAAATGTATGGTGAGATTGCATAGTCCCCTTATTTGCCTTCTTTCTATGTTTTTCTCTACCTAAACATTGATGTTGATTGATGTACATTGCTTAGAATGCATTTATATTCATGCTGTTGCATCACGCCTATAGTGTAATGATAGAAAACAGGTCTCTGTAAAATGAATCGTGTCAAATATTGGGAAGTATAGCAGAAGAGATGACAATTTCATTGAACTTTCTTGTCTTTATAAAGTGGTTAACATAGATTTCATAGCCTCCATTAATATGGTTCTTAAAATATTATTACTAGTCTTGCAGAGATCACCAGCAATTTCCTCTATATGTCTTCCCTTCATTTCAAGTTTGGTTACCAAGAACTCTGGCAGTTAAGCTTATTCACTTGATGAAATTTAAGTCTTAATTTCCATGCACAGTGTCTAATCTACGGCCCAAATTCTTTCTAGTTAATAGAGTCTAATGATCTAATAGGAATGAGTAGAGATTCTTATAGTTCTAGATAAGATACTATATGATGTTCAATTCTGTGCAATGCAATGAAGAATCTGTTGTTTTTTTGTTAGAAATTGTTAATCAATGTGTGATTGCATTTTAAGCTGAAAGGTTACACATTTTTGGGGAACTTGATCATCAATCAATAGATGATAGGCCAGTGGATTTTACATTACTAACACTTAATGTTTTATGCAATGAAGGTGCCTATGGTAACTACAGGATCAGGTTTACAATACAAGGATATTAAAGTTGGGCAAGGTCCTAGTCCACCAATTGGATTTCAGGTGTGTAAGGTCTTCTGACTTGTGTGTGCTAGTCTCTACCTCTCAAAAAGGCAGTCAAAGCCAAATTTAAACCAGATCATCAATCCCTGACTACTTAAGTTGGGTCTTAGGAACCACTGAATTTTTTTCTTGAAAAATGGTCTGATTGCGTATTACCTAAATTTGCTTACCATCTACTAAGTTCTTCAAAATGACATATGCCACTGCAAATCCAATGTGCCTTTTTTTTTTTCTTCCTTTTACATCAAAGTTAACCCGTAGGGAACTGCATAACTTTCTCATGTCCTTGAATCACTTGAAGCTGCATTTATTCCAGAACTGAACCAAACTTCATCGCAATGACATGCTTTTTGATCAGGAAATGGCATCTAGACCACCACCTCCTTTCTAAACTTGCTGAAGTTTGATATTTCTGTGAAGATTAAAGTATCTTCATTCTTTTTTCACCTGGAATAAACTTAAAAGTGATAGTCCTCTGTCAGCAGGTGATATTGTTCTCAATATGCCAAGACTGACTTCATGTAGACGTGTCTCTACTAATGAAATAAAATTACAGGTGGCCGCTAATTATATTGCAATGGTTCCATCTGGACAAATATTTGATAGGTACACAACTTTCCAGCAATCTTTCTTCAGTCCATGAATTGGTAGACGTGAAATTTGTTTGTTGTGCTTACATGAGAAGTTTATCTACCATAAAGAATTGTACAATCATGCATAATCACATGGTGGAAATCTAAATGTTTTATTAAGAGAATCGTCCATCAGCCATATTTTGCAAACAGAAAATACTGTTGAAATGTTTTTGATGTATTAATTTGCCCAATACTTCCAGTTTTTTGTCAACATCAAATTTGGTTTTGAAGATTTTCTTTTTGAACCCTAATTAAACATGTTCACCTATATGTATACTCACATGGATGCACTTTTCTGAAAATGAACTTGAAGCCTGTGAATGTGACCTTGACAAAAGATCTTTATATGTGTTGCTCTTATCCACTCTTTCGAATTGTACAGTTCACTAGAGAAAGGTCAGCCTTACATTTTCCGCGTTGGTTCTGGTCAGGTAAACTCTGGATGTTGCTTTCATTGTTTCCATTTTAAAAGTTTGAGAATTTCCCTCACCCTTCTTAGGGAGGTGTTCAAATATGAAAAACAATAATTTTGTGACCAAAGTGTTTGACAATCCTATTGAAGATTAACTGATACTCAACCCAATGAATGACAGGTTATACAGGGACTTGATGAAGGTATTCTGAGCATGAAAGTAGGAGGGAAGCGTAGACTGTACATACCTGGACCAGTAAGCTTCCATTTTGACATGATAAAGACTATTTACCACTGAATAAGCTTTTTTTTTTTTCATAAATAAAAAATGTAGATATGAGTACAATCTTTTAATGACTATGAGCATGGTGCTTGAAAATTGCACTGGCAATTTAAAACAAGCACTCAATGCTCTGATGATTTCTTTACTAATAGAAATTGGCTAGTATTCGGTTCTGATTGTTGGCTTTATATCTTTGTTTTTCTTTGGCAGCTGGCATTCCCAAAAGGCCTTAGTTCTGCTCCTGGAAGACCAAGAGTGGCTCCAAGCAGTCCAGTCGTATTTGATGTTAGTTTGGAATATATACCGGGGCTTGAAGTGGATGAGGAATAACATAAGATTGTCCATTCTAGATTTGATTGTACGTTAATCTTAATTTTTGTTTGTCACAATCACACCATTATATACAATCTTTAATTCTTTTTGAGAAATTAGCATAAAATCTATGCTGAGTAACATTGTTTTAGCACTTCTGAGTTCAGATATCATGAAAATCTTATGTGTATACTTAAAGGGCATAAATATATAACAACGGCTATGTTGGGCGTGTATGTGTATGGCCTTTGGGTAGGAAACCGTGGTGATAAATTTGGCAACTCCAGTTAACTGACATTTTCGCATAAATAATGCTTATACAAGGTTCCATTAAAAAATTGCATTCACAAACTGGGTATTGATTGATTGCTGTTCTGGAATATATATCGTTGTTGATACAACAAAAATAGACTCACTTTGTCTATCATTTGTTTTTGTCTCTCCTTTACAAAATAGTCAAAGGTGGTACCGTACAAATAAAATTGGTTTAAAAAAATAGTTCAATAGCAAAAGACACCACATACTATTAAGGGCAGAACTGATTTGAAAAGCAAGAAAAAGAAAAGGTAAAATTGGAGAACCAAATCCAAAAAACTGCAAATGCCTGCTCAGCTAGCTAAATGGCTAGGAGAGTTGTTGAACATGGTGTGCCACATAAATGCCCGGGAAAGCACCATCTCAAGCTCCTGGTGAGTCCAATTCTCTGTTGGGAGGCGCTGAAGGAACATTACCAATTCTTGAAAATCAAATTTCTGGAGCTTGTCTGACCACTAAAGGGGAAAAATAAAAAGAAAAATCACTTCTCACTAGTAATCATTACGAACAATGTGTAAATAATCTAAGAAACTATACATAAATTCAACAGGACACAAAGGAATGTATAAAAGATTATGTGCATAGCAATGGCCCAAGCAGGGAATACAAGTATATCCAGGAATTCTAGAACTCCATCTTTTACAAAGCAGTTTTAATGCACATTGGACGTAATCTAACCAATGTCATTGCACGGAAGGAAATCTCTTCAAAAAGCAAGTGAATTATGGAAAAGAAAATGAAAATCATGCCTAGACTTTACCCTACGTGCCAGAAGAATTAAGGAAATATGTATTAACAAATTGACCAACAGGGACTATTTGTAATCAGCACAGCTTAAGATGAAATCTGATTCAGATAGATTTATAAGGAATGGCTGCGGAAAGTTAGCTCACCGTTAGAAGGAAGCTGGCAAATATATATACTAGGAAGTCTGGTAAGGCTTCTACTTCAGCTAAATATGTGTCCCAAAGGCGTGTGATGAGATGGAATGGTATCTAATTATATAATCAGACACCATCAGTACAAAAGCATAAAATCATCTCAAGTTTATCCCAGACAATGTTTCCATTCTGTCATGTTATCAATTATATATATGTTATTAAGAAAACTATCCCACTTGAAAATAAAATATCATAGCAAACCTCACGGATAAGAAGACAGTTGAACCAGCGGAAAGCAAACTGAAGAACTTCAAGTCCCTGATCCTCCATTTGCCGCGAAACAGGCTCTGGTGCAGCTCAAAAGTTTCACTAGGGCACATCAGATTACATTTGAATACATACAAATAATAATATAATAAAATATAAGGGTATGGTTTGTAGTGCATTGTATGAATTCCTTTTCATTAGACAACGAACATAAATTAGATGACAAACAAATTTTGACAATCTCAATGTAAAAGCAAATCGGTAGGAAATGTCTAGCTGAAATTTTCAAGCCCTTGTGGAACCCAAACTGATTCTACTCTTCTGTGTAGGATAACAACTCTAAACAAACACAGAATTTTAACAACGTCATAAGTAATTACATACACCCACCGGGCCACCAGAAAACATACTCATAACATGTCTTGGGTTAAACAATCCAATAGGAAGAATTTAAGATGGAAATTTCAGGTGCTTTACAACCTATACAATGTGAACAACTTAAAGTTTTCAAAAGCTATTTCCAGGGCAGAGGGTAGAATGGCAATGTTCTATGTTCTCAGCTTCAGTGGTTCATATTCTTCTCTTTGTCCTAATTGTTCATATGTGGGTATTTTTACTACAAGTTAAAACTAATTGTTAATATGTTATGACACAAACAGGGTAGTTTAGCTGATATATACTACCAAGTAAATAACATTAACAACATTATAACAAACCAAATATATCTTCATGAATAAAGGAGAAGAAGATTGTGAAACATGAAATTCAACACGCAAGTAATATTGATAAAATTTAGAATCATCAACACTTTCAAAATAGAGAATGAAACTTAAGAATAAAAAGTGTACCAAATCAATGAAAAGTGATGATAGGATAATTTCACTGCTTGAAGGAAAACAAAGGGCCTTAGAAAAAGATTACCATCAATCCTCCTGACCAATTCCTTCAACTTAAAAACAAGCCTCTGAATTCCAGGTTGAGCGAATGTGTAATGATCTTGCATACCATCAAGCAACTTTGACAAGCACCAGTAGCAGTCTGCCTCTATATTAGAGATTGTATCTGGAGATAAATCAAACATTGACCAATTATCTATATCCCCTTCAAAATATTCTGACAAGAAAACAACCAAAAATGGTGTAACAAGGTCATTTATCCCCTGAACATATCCACTTGCTGGATGCCGAATGGCCCTGGTAAAAGATTGGGAAATTATGTTAGTGAAATAAGATGAAAGAACAAATTTGGTACGCATTTGTAAGTCAATACCAAAAGTTAAAGATCTTCAGAGTATCTATCATGGATAAAGACTGAAGCCAGAACAAGTCATATCTTCATAATTGTTAGAGCATATACACAGTAAATACAGCAGCTTCTACCCCAAGCTTATTCCCATTCAGCTGTAATTCTGTTATTGACAACTATCAGTTAGTTATAATGAGTTGTTGACGATAGCACTAGGATTTTGTGTTGTATAAAGACCAATCACCTCTCTATGATCATTGAGATTTAATACCATCAGAAATCATTTTCAGTTTTCAATTCTCCCTATTTTTCTCCCATATTTTCTTGCGCTTTCTATTCATAATTAATAGTTCAAGCTTCAAAACACTCTGAGAACAGTTATGGGAAAGCTAGATGCATATACCACAAGGTCTATTGTGGTTTGGCATCATTTTTTTTTCCAGGACATTGCTCGAAAAAGCTGCTAAGAAGAAAGCAAATGTATACAAGATTAAATCAACTTTTAAACATCTAGTGTATGTGTAATACATACGCATTAGAAAGTAACTAACCATTTTCTGATATTTAATGGTGAAACCATTTCTAGAAGGAATGTGTGATCGTGCCCCTCCCAAGGCCCCTCCTGAGGATCATCTAGTACCATAAAACAGTTACCAGTTTACTCAAAGGAGTTAGATGGTAGCAAGGAAACTTCAAAACACATTACCTAGACCAATAACACATTAACACCTATTTTTTTCCAGACTAGATTGAGTACAGTACCCATAAAGAAAACATATGTCCCACCTTCTAAAACTGCTATGTACTCAAATGGTTGTTACATCCATAATGGATACAGATCCAGTACAACAGTATTTGTTGGGTTCACATCAGTGCATACCCAATACTAAGGAAGTCATTTTTAAACTCAGCAAAAAATTCCTAACATAGAACACTAGACTATGAATAATATCCGGCCAACAAATGGGTAACAACAATACTAACCATGCATACAGAATACGTTCCAATGATTTCTGAACTTGCTGTTGCTGGAAGAATGGAACATCAGGTACAGTTCTTGGACAATCAACACCAATCTAACAAATATACAATAACAACAGTAAAAGAGAAATACAATATTTTCATGGATAATCAATACATAAAACCTGATAATACCTGACGAAGCATGTTGACCTCATCATCTGAACGTTCACTATCTGGAATATCATAATACTGAGATATACAGTCAAGATACTCAAGGCGCTTCCTTCTTAGAACTCCCTCCGTTCTATCTGAATTAGGTGGTGCATATCCCTGTTGTCAGTATATCTTTAAATTTCCAGGAAGAGAAAATGCAACCCATAAAAACAAGAGTGGCTGGGGTCAATAATGTTGAGCCCTTACTGAAATTATTCTCTACAGTATAAATCACTTCAACTTTCTGTTCTAAAATCTTCTGCATACTCTCATTTAAAAACATTTTGTTAGCAGCATCTAGATCTATTACGATAGGATAATTTCATGGCTAACCCTCCGTCGACAGAAGTTTAATATAAGGCATCTATTAAATAAAATAAGAATACACAAACACCTAAAAATTTCTTATACATACAACAAAGGTTATTGTCATTGCACTTTGTATGACTGAGAACTACTGTCAAAGGCATGAGCTAGAGCAAGACAAATAGCTGAATATCATAGAGCTTACCAACAGAAGTCTCCACACTTTTGGACGCATATTGTCTGGAACACCACTCCAAGCTAATTCACGCAACTTGTCTACAATATAGATTTCAAGGAGGAAATATTTTATTGTGGTAGATAACTGTAGGTTTCCATAGACTTAAAAATTGAAAACATAAAATTCAAGTTATGTATGATATTATAGGCATGGTTCAATCATTCAATTTCTATTGCAATTTATCTTTTATCCTTACTGACAAAATTATCTATAGGGAAAAGGCAACCACACTATGCGTATGTTCATAAGAGCACATACTTATGATTCCCCAACTGGTTGCAGCCATGTTGGAGATACAAGGAAAAAGTCAATGAATGAAATAAAAGCAAATAGAAATATGGAATGTTAAAATACCTAATATAACCACTGTCTCAGAAAGCACCTTAGTGAACTTCATAACCCTTGCAGAATCCGTAGCTCTAGCACCCATGGTAGACTTGCGGATTTCTTCAGACAGGCTACCTCCAAAGGAAGTTGACACTTTTAGCTTCCTGGCATTGGCAATACTAATCGGTTTGCTTGTACTGTGAAATTCCTCCTGCATCAAGATTAGATGTTCCACTTGATGAGCTGAACCCCATCAATCATGTCAGTCTCATAGAGACATGATATAAAATGATATAGTTATGAATAATACTATCACCTCAACTGCCCCAGATGTGTGATTACTTGGACCAGCATCATTGTAGGAAAAGCTCCGTTTGTAAATTGGTGAGGATGTCTTTGATTTTGGGTTATTTGATATCTTTGAGTTATCCGGAGGGTCTGACCGACGGCTCAATAATATTTTACCGGGTATACTGCGACCTTTGAGTAACCTTTATAAAGAGGGATCATAGATTAAATTGCTACTATAAATCATAAGATACCTTTGGAAGAACTTTTTTACAGTTTATTTGAGTTTCTCTTACACATAAGCAGTTATCTAATTGTTTACAAGAGTTTATAATATGCCGTAAGTTATTTTCAGATTAAATAAATGGCTACTATCTATCATCAATCATAAGGATACATTTAGAAGAACTTATCTACAGTTTATTTGAGAATATTTACGGCATAAGCATTTTTGCAATTTTTACTACAGTTTATGATATGTCCGTAAGTTATTTTCAGCTTAATTAAACAAGCTTTTCAGGATAGCTTACGAAACCAACTTACAAACAAATGAAAACAGTTTAATCTTTATTTCCCTTTTGTATCACATAAATGATTACATGATAAGCACTTATTCACATAAGCTAAAACACAATTTATTGTTTAGCTTCTCTAAAAGCTAAGATCCATAAATTGATTTTAGTCTACTGGAAAAGTCCAATTCATTCTATCCTCTTATTTTCCGTATTATTAAAATAATAATCCCAAAAAAAAAACTTAATTAAGCTATTTTCTAAGCTAATCTTCAAGTCGTATGTTAAAAAAAAAAAAAAACTGATTAACTGATTCAAAAGGGGAGAATAATAATAGCCTTCGATTAACCAATCTAGGAAGAAAATACGAAGTTTAGAAATAAATTTGACAATAAAATCAGAGGGGATAAAACCTCGACGAACCAATATTATCCTCGATCTGAGAAAAGAAAAGGAGATGAATTGAGGGTTACCCTTGAACATTTCTGAGGGTCTGATTGAATCTGGAGTCGAGGTTAGTAGCTATGTTAGTCTCATCTTCTTGGCGCTTGCTCATGCTTATCACAGTGTCCGTTGATTGTTTCAGCTACTGCTCTTTGCTTACGGAAGAGAATTGCTGAAACTAACACTCATCCATAGTCCTCGTCATCATCATCATCATCTGTTACCGCCAAAATAACATTCTCAGTTCCGCTAATATTGCTTATCATTAATTATGAAAAGTGAAAACCCACATCGTAAGCTTTGTATTTCTTTAAATCCTAATATTTCCCGTAATCGCTTTGCGTTGGGAAATTTTTACCTTGCTTTTTTCTGACAGTACCCTTTCGAGCAAAATACATTACATGAATATTTATTTAATATCTTAAACAATTTTTTCTTATTTTTAATCTTAATAAATGTTTCAAAGGCGCGAAACATTTATTAAAAAAAAAAAAGTAGTTATTTTTAAAATTAAATAAATAAATTAGACATATTTGTCATTGACATCGTTAATTAAAATTAGTGTATAACAAATAAGTGATACAGCATAATAATAGTGATAAGCAAAAATTAGTGCATTTGTTTTAAGTTAAATGGACAACTTTACTTTATTCATATTTTTCTATTATATTATTACAATGATTGATTTTTAAGATTTTTTTTTCTAAAGTGATTGTTAATATACAATAATTTTTTTTTATTAAAGTTTTTGTAAAGGATAATGCATTATACTAAACTTGTGTTTGAATTTGAGGACTTATGTTTACATTAAAGAATAGATTTAAAATAATGGCAAAAGAACAAAATTAAATTTTTTAGATCGAAAGGAAAAAGAAATAGAAAATAAGATTAATTTTGAAAACAACTTGTTTGAATGAAAATTTAAGAATGAAAAGTGATTAATATAAGAAGATGAATGAAAACTAGTGTTTTTTTCTTGTTTGAAAATAAAGAAAATGAAAAACAAAATTGTTATTTTGTATTATTACATACATATTTACTCTCCATTCATATATTAATAGAAAATAAAAACAAGTATGTTACAAAATTACCCTCTCATTAATAAATATTTTAATAATAAAAAAACAATTTTATAAATAATTTTATAATTTTAAAAGTATTAAATTCTAATAAATATCTATTTTCATGTTAGTTTTCCTTTGAAATAATAAGTATATTTACTTTATTTTTTTGTTTACTTTTTTCATTACCAAGTCGAGTTTTTTTATATAAATTTAAAATGAACATTTTATAATAAAATAACCATTATATTAAAAATCCAATAAATATTACTAATATATTAATGTTATTTTACTTGAAAATAAATTCCAAAATAATATAAATAGGTTAGCCTATTATTGAATTTTGAAATTCATCTAATTTATTTATATATTTGTGTTTTGTGTGTTTTTCTGTAACTCAAACAAAAATCAAAAGAAAAAAAAAATCACTTCTAAGTTTTTTTTTTTATTATTATTATCAAAACTTCTCTTCATCAATCAATTATTGTAATTTAAGGGTAAAAAGTTAATAAGATTTATAGATTTTTATATAAAAAAATCTATAAATAGTTTTCGAACCAATTACATTTTATTAATTTATATTTTTCAAAAACTATATAATCTATACAAACTCAATGTGATGAAGAAGGTTATAATTTGGTTTATCAATTAGATCTAATTGAATTTTAACTATAAAAGTATATTATGAAAAAATATATAATTTTATCTAAAAAATAGTCTTCTAGCTCCATCATTAAAAAATATAAATATTTTGCAGTCTATATATATATATATATATATATATATATATATATATATATATATATATATATATATGAAATAGTAGCAAAAATCTATAAAAGTATTAAGTATACCATAAAACTTCATACATAATAATTAATTAATGATGGAAAATATATAATTAGTTTATATTTATTAGATTTGTGAATTACAAATCCCATATACAAGTTAATTTGGTTGTTTTGATTCATTCATTCATTAAGCAAAATAAAACTAACTAAGCAAAAGTCCTACTTTTTTATTTATTTTTATAATTATCATAATTTTAAAACATAATTCTTAAATTAAATTGTAAATAAATAAATGTATATTACCCCATATATATACATAAATAAAGATTAAAAATAAATACTTACTATTCCAAAGAGCATTTTATTGCTATATAAAACATCTAAAAATATTTCATCAATCTGTTTATTATATTTTTGAATTAGAACTAAAACTTAATATATAAACATAAAAAATAATTTAACATAAATCCAACACAAAGTATATTGTATTATAAAAAATTGTTGTGTTGATTACCGTTATCATTTGACTAATAAAAAACATCTGTATTTTAATTTTGATTACATAATGTGTACTTATATATTTAGATTAATTAAATAAATATATAAACAATGGGTAGGTTTGCATTGTACAAAACAAACAACATGAGATGACGTTGCCGCCATTACCGTTCTGAAACCGAAGCCGATAAACCCTAAACCTCATAAACAGTGGTGAAGAGTTCAGCCACCTCTTTCAATGGCCGTCAACGACACCGATCAATCCAATAGGCCTCACAGGGACCGTCAATCCGGTGCCAAATCCGCCAAGAAGAAGAGTAAGAAGAAGCAGAAACAGGATGCGGGAGGAGAGGATCATAAAAACCAAAACCCTAAGGCATTTGCCTTCTCTTCCTCCAATAAAGCCAAGCGGTTGCAATCACGCGCCGTCGAGAAAGAGCAGCGCCGCCTTCACGCTCCCATCATTGACCGCTCCTACGGCGAGCCTGCTCCATACGTTGTCGTCGTGCAGGGTCCTCCTCAGGTACTTATTGTTCTCTTCTCTTTCACTAGAATTTGACACAACACAGTCCAATTAGTCGTTAATGTTTCCCTATACGTGTGTTTGGTTTTATTTCAGGTTGGCAAGTCACTGTTGATTAAATCTTTGGTTAAGCATTACACGAAGCATAATTTGCCTGATGTTCGAGGTCCAATTACTATTGTGTCAGGTTTGTGATTGTTTTTGTATACATTGTTTCTATCTGTAATTTAATTCTGTGTTTCACTATTTCTCTGGTCTTGGTTGACGGTGTTTTTTTGTTTCATCTGTCAGGGAAGCAAAGGAGGGTGCAGTTTGTGGAATGTCCTAATGATATCAATGGCATGATAGATGCAGCGAAGTTTGCCGATCTAGCGCTTCTTCTCATAGATGGAAGTTATGGTTTTGAAATGGTGAGTTGTTTGTGAATGATGATAGGGCTGTGCATGTGTAGTGGTGCAATTGTAGGAGTTTGATGAAGGTCATTTAGCATTCCTTTTATAAAATAAGGATGCTGTTTTTTGATATTTTACTTTTTTTTTTTGCAGGAAACATTTGAGTTCCTAAATATATTGCAAGTTCATGGGTTCCCGAAGGTAATGGGGGTTCTCACCCATCTCGACAAATTCAAGGATGTGAAAAAGTTGAGGAAAACAAAACAACGACTCAAACATCGGTTTTGGACTGAGATATATGATGGTGCTAAACTATTTTACTTATCCGGCCTTATTCATGGAAAGTAAGTTGATAAAAGAAATCTGTTTTGTTACTGTACAACTTTTTTCTTTTACTAGTGCAGGTTAATGCTTAATAGTATTTGCTAGACTTTGTCACTAGTTTTTCTTTTAAATACCATCTTTCCTTAATTGAACAGGTATGTTAAGCGCGAAGTTCACAATCTTGCTCGATTTATTTCAGTCATGAAGTTTCATCCTTTATCTTGGCGAACTACCCACCCTTATGTCTTGGCTGATCGTTTTGAAGATATCACTCCTCCTGAAAAAGTGCATGCAAATAATAAATGTGACAGAAAAGTCACCCTTTATGGTTATCTTAGAGGATGTAATTTGAAAAAGGGCAATAAGGTGTGTTCAGCAGTTCTACAATATTATTTCTATTTCCCAAAACTAAAATTCATTAGAATCTAGAGCCTTTTGGTAGAATGCTCCAGGGCTAGCCTCCTCATCTCATTGTTAGCTCTAAGTTCACACTGTGTTGTCTTGGCTTAACTCAAACAAATTCATGCTTTATATGTTGCTTTTTATCTCATTATAATGATTTTTATCCAATTAATCGAAAGAGGAAACATAATTTAAATGTAGTTGTGATCGTAAATCTTAATATTTGTGTGTCTAAAAGTTCTTGCTAATTTTGCTTAATATAATTTAAAAATATCTGCTTTTATTTGATGCATGTTATTAAAACTACTAATTCACTATTTATTCTCTATTTATGCACTGCGGTAACCACTTCCGCGTTGAGTTGTTGAAGAACACTTTCCTTCTCTGCAAGAGATTCGAACATATATATTACATAAAAAGGAATTCAGTTATTCGCTGGTTTCACTGTTTTAGCTTTGATGCATTTCTGAATTGTTAAATAAACTTAGACCATCTGTTTAGAGCAATACAGTCATTGGATGGTAATTGAAGTATTATGTTTATGTGCCCTCAAATCTTGGTAGTCTAATCAGTCTTTTGGATTTTGGAAATCAGGTACACATAGCAGGAGTGGGTGATTATAGTTTAACTGGTATTACTGTTTTACCAGATCCTTGTCCTCTTCCATCTGCTGCAAAAAAGAAAGGACTGCGGGATAAGGAAAAATTATTCTATGCTCCCATGTCAGGACTTGGGGATCTTTTGTACGACAAAGATGCTGTATACATAAATATTAATGACCACCTTGTTCAATTCTCAAATGTTGATAATGAAAACTCTGCTATGACAAGCAAAGGTCTCTAATAAGTTTCCGTTTCTTCATGTATTTCATCCACGTTCATTAAAATCATATTGTGGAAGAATAGAATATTTGTGCATTTTATCATTTTCTTGTGAAATCATATCATGAACATATGGTGGCCGTTCCTTTGATAGAAGGTTGAGCTATTTAGCTGTTATTTAACATTTATCATTATATCTTATAGTGCTTATATGACACCAGTTATCTATGGTACTCCATTTTTACCTGTGTCATTTAAATAGAATTACACGTTACAGTTTCAGGTTATATTGCGCATAACACAATAATGTATTTGTTATACTTTCCAAATTTATTCCCTATTGCTATATTTTATTCTATTAAAATTTTATCTCATGCTTTTGACAGGAAAGGACAGAGATGTAGGAGAGGTTTTGGTGAAATCACTACAGAATACCAAATACTCGATTAATGAAAAGCTTGAGAACAGCTTTATCAGTCTCTTCAGTGAAAAGCCTAAAGTGTCATCAGAAGCTCTAGCTGATGCACATGGCACAAACAATGATGTAGAACAGAATGATGCTGTTATAATTGGTGAAGATAATAACACAAAGGATTTGGATGGTTCAGAATCATCTGATCAGGATGAAGAGGGCACCATGAAAGACAGTGAAGCGTCTGGTTCTGACGAGGAAGATTCCCCAAATAGTAATGCTTTGAGTGGAGACCACATACAAGAACATATTGAGTTTCATGATGGAAGACGAAGGCGAAGAGCAATATTTGGAAATGATAATGATCAAAGTGATCTGATGGTAAGCTTTACTAATACCCACAGGAAAGATAATAGATTGTTTATGGTCAGTCTCTTTCCATTTCTTATAGTTCCTATGTACTGTTTAGATGAGGTCAAGCTTATTCTATATTGAAATGTTGACCAAGCTAAAACTCATTATATTACTGACTGTGGTTTGAATAAAATTATTTTTCCTTTTGTTTCATGTGATATTTATGTCAGTGTGCATTGATAATGCTCTCCTGCGACACTTATAAAATTTCAAACTGACTTCATTGATAGGATTCAGAAGGAGACGAGGATGGTGCTGCCAGTGATGATCTTGCATCTTCTGATTCAGAATCTTCGGAAGATGAGGAAGACCATAATGATAATGATGACACAAATGGTGCAGTTTTCCTCCTATTATTGTTAAGTTTTATATATTATCTGTTCTTGGCTGGCTGTATAAATGAGTTGTTTCATTTTCAGTACTAGTTCTTGGTAATTCTGGTAAATCAATCAATGATTGTATTGTCTTTAAATTGCTATAAGTCAGTAGCTTGTTACTGGAACTAGAGACTGTATCTTTTCTGACTTATCTTTAATGATTATCTCATAGAAGATGGCATGGGTAATGTTTCCAAGTGGAAAGAGTCTTTAGCAGAAAGAACTCTCTCACGGAAAACTCCTAGCTTGATGCAAATTGTGTATGGGGAATCTACTATTGATTCAATCACTACAGACACAGAGAATGGTAATAGTGGAGATGAGGAAAGTGATGATGACTTTTTTAAGCCCATAGAAGAAGTGAAAAAGGTTAGTCCATTACTACGTTGCTGGACTTGTTCCATATTACTACGTTTCTTTCCACCAGTGACAGTTAGAAAATACAACATTTGAAATGTACATGTTGGTATTTTGTAAAAACCCTCATTTAAATTTCTTAGCCCTCAAAATATGTTCTTGTTTGCTTCATAAACTAAGAAATTGTGTTTGTGCCTTTTGTCTTTAAAATCTATAGCAAAACATTAGAGATGGATTGAATGATGACGGAGTAGTCAACACTGAGGATTGTTCCAAGTGTACCCAATTTGTGCATCAGAGATGGGATGAGGAGATGATTCGAAACCGCTTTGTGTCTGGCAATTTGGCAAAAGCTGCACTCAGAAATGCATTGCAAACAGCTAATACTGAAGAGGAAAATGATGATGTCTATGGTGACTTTGAAGATTTGGAAACAGGAGAAAAACATGAGAACTATCAGACAGATGATGCTCTTGCAGCAACAAAACTTAAGGAAGATGTTTCTGAAGCTGAGGAGCGGAGACTTAAGAAAATTGCTCTCCATGCAAAATTTGTTAATCAATATCCTTTTTTCTCTCTCAATATACATATTCAACATGAACAGTTACTTCTAATAATCCCACCCCCTCATCCGAACTTTTGGTTATTAATATGGATCTAATGTCTCAGTCATTGTATGATAATGATGTGAAATGCAAAGACAGTAACGTATTGGTCTAATTTACGAATTTTCTCTGCAGTTCTGACTCATTGAATTAGAAGCAAATTGTTGGATGTTATATAGTACTATATATTGTTACCTTAATTTTTTATTTACATTTGACGGTGACTCTGGGTCAGCAGAGGAAGACTCTGGTAAGGAAAATGGACACAAGGTCCATCGTGGTCAACCTAATGAAAGTACCTATTTTGACAAGGTAAATTGCTAACATTAGCAGTTGACTACCTTGTTGTATTATGGCTAATAAACGTTGGTTTCTGCCAGTTGAAGGAGGAGATTGAACTCCAGAAACAAAGGAATATAGCTGAACTCAATGATCTTGATGAAGATACCCGATTGGAGATAGAAGGCTTCCGAACAGGAACATACCTAAGATTGGAGGTTAATGATGTTCCTTGTGAGATGGTTGAATACTTTGATCCCTACCATCCAATATTGATCGGAGGGGTTGGTATAGGGGAGGATAATGTTGGATATATGCAGGTCAGTGAAATATTTTATAGCATCATTCCAAATAAAGTTTAAGTTTGCTGGTGTTATTAACATCTTTAGGTCAATAAAACTATCGGTAATGTCTATGATCGGGGATTTGGCATGATATTGTTAAGGAAATGTAAGTAAAATGGTTGGGATTTCGTTTTGTTCACATTGTAAAGCAATAATCTCAAGGGCAAATGTTTTGTCACCATCAAAAAACTTGGTAGAGTATCAAAATGAGTGTATGTGTTTTAAGGTATGTAATAGTGCCTATTTATAGCTGTTTACTTGGCTTGGCAACATGGACCTCCTATATGCAAGGAAACGAATGTATAGAGATGTTAACTTAGTGTAGAAAATGGAAGTTAGGCTTCTAAAATATGTTAAATAGCAGTCTTGAGTTCAATTTTATTGATTGGAATTTGAACTTTCTTGCCTTTTTTTTTTTTGTTTCCAGACGAGGTTAAAGCGGCATAGGTGGCACAAGAAAGTTTTGAAGACTAGAGATCCAATTATTGTATCTGTTGGATGGAGGCGTTACCAGACAACTCCAGTTTACGCCATTGAGGATAGTAATGGAAGGCATCGTATGCTAAAGTACACTCCAGAACACATGCATTGCCTTGCTATGTTTTGGGGACCTCTTGCTCCTCCCAACACTGGGGTTGTAGCCGTTCAGAATTTATCAAACAATCAGGTCTGGTGTTATATTTCTCTTTGTTAGATAATCCTTGTTTTAGTTTTTTTAAGTTTTAAGTCGTGGGATGTTTACTGTTGTAGTTTTTTCCTAAATTTTTCGAGTTATAATTTTGCTTACTGCCTGAGAGGATGTAATTCTGTTTATCAGGCAACATTTAGGATTACTGCCACTGCAGTTGTTCTTGAGTTTAATCATGCAGCAAGGATAGTGAAGAAAATCAAATTGGTTGGTTATCCATGCAAAATATTCAAGAAGACAGCACTTATCAAGGATATGTTTACTTCAGATCTTGAAGTAGCTAGATTTGAAGGTGCAGCTATTCGAACAGTCAGTGGGATTAGGGGGCAGGTCAAGAAGGTCCGTGAATGTCACTTTGAGATAATGAAATATTATACTGATGCTTTTTTTGTTCGCTACGCAGTTGGATACTTATAATTTATCATCTATTTTGTCCTAAGTTATTTTTTAATTTGGCAGGTTGCAAAAGTAGAGATAGGTAATCAAGCACAAAGGAAGGGTGGGCAAATTAAAGAAGGAATTGCTAGGTGCACTTTTGAAGATAAAATCCTGATGAGTGACATTGTTTTCCTGCGGGCATGGACTCAAGTTGAAGTTCCTCAGTTTTATAATCCATTGACAACTGCATTGCAGCCTCGTGAAAGGACCTGGAAAGGAATGAGAACCGTTGCAGAATTGAGAAGAGAAAACAATCTTCCTGTTCCTGTAAATAAAGATTCACTTTACAAGGTACGTGTTCTAGTTTGATACGAATGGATCCTTTCCCTTGGTGCATTGAGACGTTTCTTCTCCCTTATAGTTTGTCTGCTTATTTTCATTATCATTCGTCGCCAGAAAATTGAAAGAAAACCTAGAAAGTTCAATCCATTGGTGATTCCCAAGTCTCTTCAAGCAAGTCTTCCTTTTGCATCAAAACCCAAGGACATACCCAAGCGGAAGAAGCCCTTACTCGAAGAAAGAAGGGGAAGAGGTGTTGTCATGGAACCTCGAGAGCGCAAAGTTCATGCTCTTGTTCAACACCTCCAGTTAATAAATAGTGAGAAGGTAAGTATGTCTGCTGATTTATTTGCTTGACTTTATTTGAATTTCTATTCAATATTTCCAAGCACACTGTGTTTGTGTAACTGACTTGGGATTATACTCCATTGCTAAAAGGTATTTTTGTTCCATTTTATTGGATGCAAAGTCTTTTAAAATTGAGGATGAATCAAAATCAAACACAGTAGATTTTCCTAATGACTTTGTTGCTTAATGGCTACCATCCTCTGGAAAATACTGGATTTTATTCCCAATCCATCGAGTTTCAGTACATTTCATAAATGATGGATTAATCTGTAATTTTGAAAACTCAATTACAGCTCTTGATGGTTTATCTCTTTTCCTTTTCTTTTGCCTCAAAGTATCAATGGGTAATTTCGTAATTACTAACCATTTTTATATGAAATTGATTTTCAGTTGACTAAGGTGTAGTTTCATGGTATCTAGAGTTTTTTTTTTTTTTTTTGCAGAGTTCTTTGGCCAAACCGTTTATAATAAATGATATTGTTATGATGTAGCACGATTTTTTCCATATTGAAGCACTACTGTTGCACGTCTTTTGACAAACACCATTTTCTGAGCCCTCTTGCAGATGAAAAAACGAAAGCTTAAGGAAGATAAGAAAAGGAAAGAACTTGAAGCAGAGAGAGCAAAAGATGAGCAATTGTCGAGAAAGCGCCGGAGAGAGGAAAGGCGTGTGAAATACCGGGCACAAGACAAGCAGAATAAGAAAATTCGTAGAACAGAGGTTTGAGTTCACGACTTGAATTCGTTCTGAAATTGACTAGCGAAATGCATTTTGATGACATGAACAATCAGAGAAGAGAAACATGAAAGGTTCATGCGATTGAATCTACTTACGTGCATTATGGAAATTAAAGAGAACAAATCTCGCGTATCACCATGGAGATCGTTTTGGACTACGGTGCTATGGATATGTGGAATTACGGGGTAACATTGATTGGTAAAACGCTGGGGTCGAAAATCAGTGGAGTCTAGAATTATGCGTGCTTCGGCTTCGAAATAATGTTACAACATAATTTATTACTACAAATTTTGTCATGCGTCAATTATTGATGATAAAATTATTAGATAAAATTGTTTTGCTTGCTTTGGTAGTTACTACTACAGATGGTCAATTTTGGGCGAGGAGTTCGCCACCCTTGCTTCTGTAAAATTATTATTTCGAATTCTTTGAAAATTAATTTGAGCAAATTACGAAGACATCTTGATGTTTGTTAAAATTGTATTTCATACCTCTTTTGTAATCTACAATTTTTTTGTTCATTATTATAAATATATTTTCCATTAGTTAAATGTTAAGAACGGTACAGCTTTTAAATGTTTCTTAATTTTACAAATATCTTTATAACATCTATGGAATATATTTGGTTAATACGAGAAATAAATACGGTAACCAAATTAGATACTATATTAAAAAACATAGAAGATTAATTTTTATTGTGTTTTAGTTATTAAATATGATAAATGTTTGAGGTTTGATTTTATTTGTAAAGGTATGGATATTTTTTTAACGAAGTTCAGATTTTTAATTTTGTGTGGAAGGTATTTGATGAAATATTTCAGTTCAGATTAAGATCTTTAAGTACTAGAGAAAAAAATATATATTGTGAAGTGTTGACTTGAAACTAAATATCATTAAATAAATATTAAATCAAATTAATTGTTTATATACAGTAACTTTGTCATGTTTTAAAAATAGCCTCTTTATTTGTTTTTATTTTGTATCAATTTAAATTTTTTTGGGTGGTGCATAATTACTTTAGAGGAGGTTAACAAATATTTTAAATATTGAATGTACCTGATAAATGTTAGGAGCGTCGTTATAATTCTTTTCAATTAATTTTTGTTATGAGTGTTAAAATTATTTTATTTATATATAATTTACTTATATTCAGAAGTCAAGTTTTAGATTTTTTTTTTAATTATAAGTTATTTAGTGTTTAAAATAGATAAAAAAAAGATTTAATGTGTTATTTTATTGAAAAAAAAAACAAATTATAATCATCCTTATTATAAGGTTTATCATCTTAATAAATTATAATAATTAGAAAATAATTTTTTATTATGGCTATATTTCGTTGTTTAAAATTATTTTTTTAAGAATTTTCTTTAGTCAAATGATTTTATACGCACAGCAACCATAAATTCAATTTTAATATTGGATAAATTTACGATATATTGTTTTTTAGATGATAACAAGTTTTGCATGAGATTTTTTTTTATCGTTTTAAATACCAAAAAAATATTTAATTCTTTATAAATAGTGAAAAATTCTCTTTTTAATCAACAAATGCATTTACGTAGGATTTATTGTATATTTTCATTGTATTAACAAAAAATATTATGTTTTGTTGTTATTAAATACATCAAATTGATAAAAAATTATTTATAAAACATGAAGTTAACTTTTTATTTTTTTTCAAGATCTTTGTGAATTATAGGTTATGCTTTACTAGGATATTTATTATAGTGCAATCCTCCATTTGAAATTATTCAAAAACATCTGTTACATATTTTATTTTATAGATAAAAATTCTGATTAAATTACTTTTATACTTACAAAAATAATGAATCAAGCTAAAACCATTTATTCCAACTTCATCCATCGTATCTTTTTAAAAATTCTCATCCATAAATTATAAGTTTCGTTAAAAATAAGACCATTCACTTATATTTAAATCATAAATAATTTATCCTTATTTCCAAATTTTATAAAAAATATATGCTCAGAAAGATACTTTATATTTTAAGAAAATAAGATTCAATGTAAATAAATTAAATTTATTGTAATTCTTAAAGTTTTTTTTTTAATTTATACAATTTATGAAAATGATCAAATCATAATAAAAAAAATGAGTACACTTTCAATATGATTCTCTTAATCTTTTTCGAATTTCATATAACTACATATTCATTATTTTGAAGGAAAGAAGATACATATTTTTATTTATTTTCTTACACACCTCAATCACTATATTGTATTAACATCAACAAAAACTAATCACATAATTAACATGTGATGATGTGATGATTTAATTATATATGATACTATTAAAATAATATTTAATATTGATATATATAATATGATTATTTAAGTCACAGTTCACTTTCAATATTATTATTAAATATACAAAACAAATAATAATATTTCTAGATTCACTAGAAATGAATATTGTTTTAATTTATAGAAGAACCAATAATTTTATATAATAAATAAATCTATTTAAATAAATAATATTATGTTAGTTTATTTACATAAATAATTATTATTTTAAAAAAAATATACACAATATTATTGGTGATATAATATCACTCTAATAAGATATAAAAATTAAAATGAATTAGAGAAAAAAGATAATAAAATTGAAAATTATATTAACGAGGAATGATATAATAATTTTATATGTATAAGATATAGAAGGGAAATTTAGAAATAATAATAAAATTGAAAATTAACCATAAGATGTAACTGATAAAAAGATGACACGCATTTATAATAAATAAATAAATAAATAAATAAATTTTTACATTTTAGTCATTAGTTATTTTTTAATCGATAATAAATAATTTAATTATATTTTAATCATTGACATTGAATTCAAATTAACAGTGTAAATAAAAATAACTAAAAATTTAATTTTTTTATACAAAAATGGAAATAAAACGGCTAGTATTTATTTTGACTATTGTAGATGACAATTTTTTTTAACTAAAATTTATAAAAAACAAATATTTTAAATATCTGAATTATTATAATTAAAATTCATAATAGATAAATATTTTATATATACATTATATTTAGATTTATAATAAATCTTATTTTATTTTACAAGATTAATTTAATAATTGATAATTTAATGAAAATATTAAAATTCATTTCAAAATAACGATAAAATACAAAATTATTTTAGTTATTGATATTCTTATAAAAATATAAAAAGACATTTTAAATATAAGATTATTTTAATTATTGATATGCTATGCAAACATTAAAATTCACTTTAAAATAAAGATATGATCGAGTTACTATTTTTATTATTGATGATTTATTTTAAAATAAAGATAAAGGAGTAGGTTGAAAAAGATTTAAAAAAAAAAAACTCTCTGAGAAAACCTGCAAAATAGGTTTTGGTTGAAAAAAATTACTTTTTAAGAGTATTAGTAGCTATTTTAATTTGTACATGAGAAATATAGAAATAGCGTTAGGGTTCTCAACCCAAATCAAATAGAAGTTGAAGGGGGAGAGAGAACGCTTGTTACCCGCCACACCACAAGAACCAAGCGTACAGGGTTTGGTTTAACATTGCGTTTCGAAACCTCTGCGATCTCCTTCCTCAACTCAATACACACTTCAACGCCACCGCCACACACAGTTGAGTCGCCACCGCCATTAAAATTCTTAACCTAAATCAATTCGACCGAGGAACACTCCATCAATTTTGTACTCTTGTAAAAAGTGCAGTATTATATTTTTCTTAAGCAATGAAGTTTCATAGAACAGATGCTTTATCAATTTTGTTGCAAATTAAGCGCCAAAACAAACAGATTCAACTTAAGAGTAGGTAAGATACTACTCATCTTCTTGTATCTTAACCTTTTTTTTGTGTTAAATTTTGATTGAACTTGATTACATTAATATGGTGCAGATGGTTACTCGGCATTCCTCCCACAAGATCTGAGAAGAAGAAGTTGAAAAAATATTTCAAAAATAGGTTGGTGACTCATTTGTTCAAAGATTTTTGTCCTTGGTATTCGCTCTAATGGTATAATATATATATTTTTTCCTTTTATGGGTTTTAGGTATTTGTCTGAGTCTTTAATCAGGGAAGACGATGTGAGTATTTGTATTTCCTTTGTTTGTCTTGTAACTATGGCTACTTGCATTTTGGATGATAAATTGACTGTCTAGTAATCTTCAGATGTTTTATGAGTTAGTAAAAACTCATGTTGAAGACGCCCTTGGAGAGCGCCGTTTTGAACAAGAAAATGATGTCCCTCAGGAGGACATGGATTTAATTCAAACACCAAAATTGAAAAGGTTGATATCACCGTGCCTTGATAAATTGACTACCAAAGGTCTCTATCTTCTTGCTATGATAGTTACTGGTGGCTCATACAAGTCTGAAATAACACGTTGCAAAATGAAAAAGGTTATCAAGGGTTCTCTTTCAAGCGTTCTGGGTAGCAAAAGCCATAATCATCTGGAAACATGTAAACAGATTTTTGCACTTCTCAACAATCCACAGAATTTCCGAGATAGGTATGAGCCTTTGGCTACATTAAGATCCCAATCTTATCATGCTGCTGCAGCAAAGGTATTGCATGGACTGGAAAACTTGACATCTCAGACCTTGATCGCAATGCGTAGAAAACTTAAAGGAGTGAAAGCACCAGTGCCTCAGTTACAACCTCGCAAACATGGATGGGCAAGAGATCATCTGATCAAGCTAGTTAAGAAAATCAGTGGAGAAATGCTTTCTCAACTTGATAGAGAAAGTGAGTTGCAAGAGCCATTAGCCAAAGCCATGGCAGTAGCAGATTTATCACTAAAACTTACAACTGGTTCTCGTAACATATTTTCAAAAGATTTTTACCAATTCTCCCCTGAGGTGAAGTCCTTGCAAAGTGATATTATGAATGCTATATGGTCTGTTAAGAAAGTAGTGACAGTGCCGGAGCTAAGAAGATTACAGCTTCTCATAGAACCAAAGGCTATAATATCAAACAGGTGCATTCGGGCAGCTTTTGTAAATTTTTTGACTGAATTTCTTTTTGAGTGCAATGATATGGATAGTGTTCCAAAGTCTCTATCACAGATACTAGATGTTATTAACAGAGGGTCTAATAATGGTTTGCACGACGTATTATTGAAAAAGAAGAATATTGAAGAAGAAGTTGACTACATACTAAACTTAAGTGCTTTGACAAAACAATTTGTTTTGGATTTGTTGCCTGATGATGAATTTGATAACGACTTCACTGATGCTTACATGGAGCAATCGGAAGAAAGTGATGACAGCTGCAGTGATGAGGGTGATGATAGTCAAATTGAGGAGGGTATACCATTAAAAAATGAAACATTTAATTCAATGGATTCATGCTATGAAGCAGAAAGCATGGGAGATTTCGCACCATTTGAGTTCCGTCCTTGTACCATCAAAACTGAGGAGAATGTTTCGTCCTCCCCACTTATAGTTACTGATAGGTTGAATAGTGGTTCTGAACAGTTTCGACCTAATAACTGTGATACTCTACATTTGGAATCTAAATTTGACAACACTCCACATAGCATGGTAACTGACCAATGCCAAGGAGAAAGCATAGAGCATCGTAGTACATTTATGGCTGGCAAAAACAACAATTTTTCATTTGTTTCACCTGACAGAGAATTGGATGAAAATGTTGCAAAGAGAAATCATTTGTCTGAATCAGACACTAAAGTAGATGCAAGGAACATAGCTGATTTTTTTTGTAACAAGGAAGAATCCGTGCCGACTAAGTACAGTGCATGCAAAAACCAATACCTGGCTATCCAAGATGCCTGTGATAAGACAAGTATGCTTGGATATAATCTCATTGGTCATATGTTAGAAGAATTTGTCAAAACTGAAGGCCTAGATTTAAACTTGAGCAAGAGTTTATACCTCACCGGTAATAATCGCACGGAATATGTTGAAGGTATTGACGTTTTATGCTATCTTACCTATTATAACCAAAGCTTATATTATACTATTTCTACCAATTTTTCTGCAATATGTTGTTTGATCATATTACTACTACTACGTATTATATTAAAACTTTTCTTTTTCTGACATGATTTTGTCTATTGTGTCCCTTCCTTCAGTGTCAACAAAGTAAAAGTGTCAGTATACCTTTCTTTAATTATTATTGCATGAATTACCTTTGTGTGACCAACCAAAACTGTATCTTCTTTTCAGAAGACCATAATGTCTTTTGTGAGTCCTCTTTTGCATGTGTTCAGTTCATGATACATATAATGGTAACTGTAATTTTGTGCCACACCTGAGATTGTTTCATTCTGTGCATGCTTATTAGTTTAATTGTAACTTTGTCATGTCTGGAGTACGAGTGCTGAACTTTGAAATTTACATTTAAAAATAGAGGCCAAAATTTCATATATACACATTTCAGCATTGCAAACTTCTTATTTATCTCTTTACCTACCTGGATACATCCACCGCATCAAACTGGTAATAGACCGAAATACATAGGCACGGGCACTCTCCTGTTATATAAGAAACTCATCGAGATAATAGGGATAAATATCCCACAAAATCATGGTAGTTACCCAAATATTACTCTATTAAATGTTTGATACTTCTTTTATTCTGGCCTAAGTATATTTTCATTTCCATCTACATATTCATTTACTAACTTAAGCTTCGGAGGTGAAAAATGAAATATGTAGGTAAAAAAATGAAAAAGTACTTGGATAAGAATAATGTCCAGGTACCACAGTGATTTGTGGGATATTTATTTTATTATATCGAAGAGTGTCTTATATACTGGGATAGTGTTCATGTATTCCATTACTACTAGTTTGACCTGGTCAATGTATCTGGGCAGTACAATACTTATGTTTAAAAAGTAAACACAAATAAACCAGCCCATAATGACAAAAACAACCAAAACTTGTACTACTATGCCCACAGCACAGGTTTTTGTGAAAAACATCAAACTTTGTGCTTTGGCATACATTTATCAGTTATGAATATAGGAATTTGATAAGGTTAATACAATACTTTGCTAGGATCATTGTGAAGTCTAAATTGATTATCCTGTTCTATTACATGCAGATATAGAAGATCAGTCATCATCTAGGAAACATGCAAGAGATTTTGTTCAAGTAATTGAAGAGCTGATTCCTTCCTTTCCAGATAGGTATTTGGTACATTCTAAAAATATGATGTCATAACTTCAAAGTTTTATATTTAATGTGCGTGCTTTTATTAACCATTTTAGTTGACAACTTATAACTTGCTTTATTAATTTGCATCGTGTGGAGTTCCTCTCAGTTTACACGAGCATTTAAGTGCGTATTAAATAATCAAAAGTTATGTCTCTTTTAAGTATGACTAACTCTTGTCTCTTGGACACTGCAGTAGCATTGAAAGACTGAAGATGTTGATGGGCTTATGATAATGGAACCGAAGGTTTTGAAATGGGTTTTCCCCAATTGTGAGTTTGTTTAGTGAGAGCTTTTCCTCTTCCCTCCAAGGATTGTCTCAAACCGAATTTTTGCTAACAATAAAAGCTCGCCACCAAGGAATTTTATAATTTTAAGTCTCAATCAATTATTTGCTACATCAGATGGTCATTAGCCTCTCCATTTAGTTGATTGAATTGCACTACCCACGCTCTACACTGCGTTGTTAAGAAGAATGGCTGCATCCTGATTGTAAGTGTTGTATGCCTTATTCTAGTGTGTTTTGGTCTGAAAATTAAATGTACTGGAATGTAATAGTGTGTGGCTTTGATTCAGGATAAAACTAATCGCTATCTGTCATGCGCCACAGTCATTATATGTTGTGGAGTTCAATCAAATGACAATAAGGAAAAAGACATCGATTTTTTGGTTAGTCAAATTGGCGCCTTTTATCTTTACTGAATTTATTGTGTACAAAAATGGATGTTTTCTGCTCCTGATTTTTAAAAGCTTAGAGGCCACATATCGTATCAAGCTATAGCATTGTTTGTCTCTTTGGTCGGTCAATTCCTGCATAAAGGTAGGGCTGGGCAGTAGCTTTACCCTATGTCAGAATCGAATGTAACTTTCCGGTGAGGCCACCCCATCTATTCTTCATTTTCCTATGAAGGGTGGGGTGGGAAAGGAGAGAGGGAAAACGGACTCCTTCCGACCAGATTACTAGCTTGAATGGAGCCCGACCAGATTACTAGCTTGAATTCATTCAAAGTCAAGGAACTGTTTTCTTCATTACCCAAGTCTACTCGGTCGAAGAATTTGAGACAGCTCAGTGGTCCTGAGCAGTGAAACACTGGTCTACTGTATAAGCTCCAATCTCTCCCACAGGTGTCATCTGCTATAGCTTGGAGAACCTGAATTGTTAGTGTAGGTGTCTGATTTTTTCTGGTCAGTATCAAATGTCAACTCTGACCTGGGGAGAAAATGAAGGGGGCTATCAAATGAGATAAAGCTACCTCCAGTAAGATGATTCGATATTATTGGCATTAGAAAGGAGAGGCTTATGCCCAGCGCCCCACGGGAGTACAGGGCAAACAAGATGGAGCTTCCTCAAATTTTAATTATTATACGTATAATCCCTTTTGTATATAACTTTATTTTAAATTTCCTGTTTTACCATTTAAAATTTTATTTCTACTCTTCTTTAAAACAGTTTTAAAATTTTATTTATGCTTCTATTATTTATTTAAATCCTAGAAAACAATGTTTAGGAAGAACAGTACAAGGCAACATAAAGACAAAGAAACATGAAGATACAAAGTATTATAAAGTTGGTTTCCATTTCTTTAGAAGGGACATGTAAATATAAAACTCTTCACAGAGGATAGGATGTTTGCGCTGAAACACTGTCACGGTTGAAAGAATTGTTTTTACGAGTTCCTTAGGTCATGACAGACCAAATGGCTCATGATTTACGTCTTCCTTGTTTGAGCCACAAACACATTTCTATTTTCTAAAAAAATTGTTTCTTTAACACTAGAACATATACTTAAAAAAACAGGTGAGAAAACGTCTAACGTTTTTGTTCTTGTTATATATATATATATATTTCTAAAACACTTATTCTGGAAACAATTTTCTGAACATAATAAAATCTGAGATTGATTGCTCAGTAGTGCAATAATATATAAGAAAACAGATTTTAAAACCAGAAATTGAGAGGTGAATTGAATCAAACAAGCCTTTGTATATTTTTTTTTTCTCTCAAAATTTACTTATTTCTATGTCGCCCCCAATAGGTCAAGCAACATTTGAAATACAAAGTAATAAAACTATCTATATACAAATAGCATCCTACAAGATTCAGACCAAATGCTTAGAAAGTAAGTGTATTGCTAGTTTGTTTCACCAGAGAATTCCGTTTACAAAGCAAACCAATCTAAGCAAAGCATACTGAAAATTCCTGGATAAGCATGACTTGGACATCTTCGGCATCTTCATTTGCATTGCTTCAGCTGTTTCTCAATTCCTTATACTGTATTTACTTTGGACTCTCTCTATTAGCAAAACAAATACATTTCATCATTTATTGGCATCATATTCCCATACATTGTCCCAAGAACCACTAGGAGGAACCTTTGATCCCTGAATATAGTTCTGATTTGCAGAGGAACTGTGTGGCCCTGGCAGTGGAAGTCCGTCTGGACCTGGAGGGTTAATGTTCTTGGGCTTAGATTTGATTCCAAGCAACCGCAACACAAATCTAGCTAGCTCTCCATACAATACACCAGACCGATCAAAAAGCTGTCCAGATACCAAGTAACCATATCGCATCAAAATAACATTCATAGTACTATTTCAAAGGGGAAAAAACACAATCGATCTTTCGCATGGACTATCTTGGCAACATACAGCTAGAATGTCTAACTGAAATATGTTTAATTAAATATAACAGAAGGTAAACTCAGTGCATTAGCGTGAAAATAAAAATAAAAATAATACATCCATCAATCAAATTGTGCTTTGATTAAATCACTTGGTTCTTTTTACTGATTTGGAATTTGGATTGGACAAGTCAGATCCAAACTTGATTTTACCTTTATCTAAGAAGCTTTTCAAATAACCGGAATTCAAAAGATGAATCGAGTATAGATTATTTGTGATCTTCAAACAGCCATTGGAGCATAGAGTATAATATTAACATATTAACAAAGGAAAGGAACACAAAATGGACAGAAAAAGATGAATGTAAAACCTGAAGAAGTGCATTCATGAACATATGGAAAGCCTGCGTGTTCTGGTCTACGAGAATTGAAATCCTGCCAAAGAAGTCAACCACGCCTTGCATCTACAATTTAAAGGAAAAAATATCAATTAATGCAAACCAAATTTTCAGAGGGGAAAGAGGTCGAAGTCAAGGTGTAGAATTAGAACAGTGAATAGAGTACACCAAAAAGGTATATAAAATAACATGTCCCTTTTAGAATGCTGATTGAATAACCAAATACTCCTAAAATCAAGAAGTTTCATAAGAGATTTATAATAGTTTTACCTCGGTAACTTATGCTGACTTTTACTGCAAACCTTTATTATGCAAATTGTTGGTGTTAAATTCTGATTTCAATCAAAGAACAACACTGAAAGTACTTAAAACTTAAGAAACTACATCTATGTTTTGTCAAAAGATTAATAATATCCTAGTTTCTGTTGCATCTTGTGTCATATCATAGATACGATACGAGTATTTATTACAAACAATGAAACACGGTCAGGATGAAGTCCATGTACAATAACATACAAAAGAAATGCATTGTATTAAATTAAGGTTATTAAAAAACTAGAGAGAGTTCGATGCATATCAAATTAATCATTAAAAAATATTAAATAAACTTCCAGTAATAAGTATTATACCTTACTCTATGATCTAGTAATTAGTGATAGTAACCCGGAATACGACGAAAAAAGGAACTATGTTGGGCAAAAAATGATATTGCTCACCACACGTATAAAAGAAATCCAAAATCCTGGAGGAGACGAAGGAGCACCATATGGATTATTGGGATCTTCAGCTCCATAAGGGCCACCACCCAGGCCATAACCACCCATTGGACCACCAAAGCCACCATTATACATTCCCCCTCCATACATCCCAGATGACCCATAAAGCCCCCCATATCCTCCCCTATACATACTGTTGCCGTACATTCCACCGCCATACATTCCTCCGCCATACATTCCTCCACCATACAACCCTCCCACTCCACCATGCGATCCATATCCAGAATTGTAGTTCATTGTAGAACCATAACCTGTACATAACAAATGAAAAGATTAATGAAAATAGGTAAAGCAAGGAAAAGCTAAAAGGATAGGAGGCCAAATATGTGAGACTACAGATAATTTAACATAAAAATGACACCTCCATAGCTGGTACTTCCATAATTCTGCTCCCAAGGCCTTGTGGGAAGGGGTCTCCCCAGAGCATTCCTATTGACAGTTGCAGTGTTATTGGAAGCTGAAACTATTTCCCCAGGTTTTGCAGTCCCTGAAGACTCAACTACATCACTCGTGCTACCTGCTGACGGGGGTTTAAAAGGTGCAGGCCCAGATGAGGATGCTGCATTCTCCCACGGTTTAGGCGGAGCTGCAACACAAAACTATAAAATCTAATCCACCAATAATCTTCATAAAAGAAATCAGGTGAATCAAAATAACAAGGTAATGATTGCTGTTACCCCTTTCCTTTAATTGGCTTCATCAAGGAAAATTGAAACGACAACAGCAATAATAATTACGAATATCGAAAAGAAACGCATGTGTATGGGAATGAAAATGAATTCAATCAACGAAATTAGGAAAATTGAGGGTTTTGTAAACTGAACCTGAAGCTGATGGTTCCATACGAATTGCAATCAAACAGCATAAACTCTTCAAGACAACAAATCAACGCCATTTATTGATTTTGTAGTCTTCTTATTATTATATTTAGATTTTTTTTTCTATTTTGTAATTATTATGATTAGGTTGGTCTAAGAAAATCTCAAGCAAAATAATAATAATAATAATAATAATAATAATAATAATAATAATAATAATAATTTACTGGATTTAAACCATTGATTTACCTTTGTAGAGTGGATCTGACGGTAGATAAATTTCGTAATTTTACTTTCAATTTCCTTAGAATAAACAATAAAGATAATTTTAATTACTAATTCTTATTTGGTATTAATCCAAGAACCTTCGTATAACTCCACGTGTTTATCGTTTTTTTCTCTTTTCTTTTTACAAGTCAAAACCTTCTTTTTCTCAATTCTATAAAAGGTTGACTCACTCGTCTCACAAAGACTTTCTTTATCAATTATTTTGTCTTTAATAATATTTTTTTATATATATTTTGATAATGTAAAAATATGTTTTTAGATGAAAACAAGTTTTAAAATATCACTTTAAATGGAATAAAAAAGAAATAAAAAAATAAATAATACAGAAACTACATATTTAATTTTCTTAGTAAGAAAATAAAAAATTAAATAAGTATATAAACATAATTTTTATTATTGAAAAAATATACATATAATTATGGTAACTTAAATTTACCTTAGATATCTTTAATAAAAATAACTAGTTGTTTCTTTTTTTTAAATATAAAATATAAATTTAGTGTGTGGTATTGTTCTTAAACAATTTATTCAATAGAAATTTTTAAATTTTAAATAACTTTTTTTTCTCTTTTTGATAAAACAATTAATGAAAATTTTTAAATAATATATTATTACTTAAGATTCTTCCAATTTAAAATAACAAGTGATATATACTTGAACATTTCAACTAATGGATTTTCTCCAACTCTAAAACATCACTGTATATGTGTTCCTAACTTCCTATCATTTGCAAAGGAAAAATAAACAAGAATTCAAATTTCTTTTAACTTTAGATCATAATTTCAAATGATAAAGTTGATCAAACTGGAGATTGAGCTATTTACATCTGTTCTGTCTACAGCTATGAACTTGTATGCAGCTTTTAATCAGCATATAGAACTACATATTTTACATGCTAGTGCTAGTTCTATCATGTTAGTTTATCTTTCTTTTCTATCTGCTAAAAACATCCACCCTAGAAGATTGCACTATAACATATATTTGACTCAATGGCCACAAATGACACTTGCAACATCTTAAAAGAAATGAAGAAATTTGCATGTGGCATTGGTGGCTACAGGGCCAACTCCTCCAACCAGCATACTTTTAGATTCAAGTGTGAATCACAAGCCTCATAAGAATGTGACAAATTAACAAAATATTGTTGAAGCAAGACTTTGAATTGTCTCCATGAAGCCATGCATCATATCACACACTATGAACTGTCTGACAAGAAGCAATTGTTGCTGCCATGAGTGCTTAAAACACAAGGCACATCACGAACCAGAAACTTCACACAACGTGTGCCAATGTCATTCAAAATTTCTATACACTCTTGCAGATCTGAGTCACTCACCAACATCACCCATTCCTCTTCATCATCTAGATATTTGAGCTGGAATGACCCATTTTGTAGTTTGAACCTTGTTGCAACTTCTTCATATAGCTGGAAACAACCTGCGGATGGGTCAAACTTGAAACGAATAGTGTCTCCCCTATAGCTAGCTTTCACAATCATTTTTGACCCACTATCTACACAAGTTGATTTTACTTTTGAATGCTTTTGGTTCTCCAAGCTTTGAGAGCATGATGAGCTGCCATGCATCATAGAGCCAGAGCCATTGGATGAGTTTGTAGTGCTTGAAGAATTAGGGTGGTTATGTTCATCAATTCCTTCTCCCCCATCTACTCCAACTTCAACCTCATCAGTAACCAAGGATATTGAACAAGTTTGTTCAGGACAATCCTGAGTCTTGGCCCAATTGCTGGCTTTCTGGCTTGATCCATCGTTCATGGCCATTGATTTTGAATCTTCACAAAAGTCATCAGAAGAAGCATTGTCTTTTTTCAATTCTCCCTCACTGGCGTTAGATATAAGCACATTTCTTGAGTGCACAAGTTTGTTTCCCACCAAACAAACACCATTATCACCATCCAACTTAATTGTTGAATTCTCCCTAGTGCTTCCTGGTGCTGAGACTGCCTTTTGTGTTGCATGTTTAGGATCTTTCACAGCACTTTTCTCAGGAAACAGAATATATTTATGTGTTTCAATGTCCTGCATTATTGATCCTCCGGCTATAAACCCTCCAGTATAAGGATCAAACTTCAACCCTCCTTCCACTCCCTGGACAGAATCAAGCACAGTCTGTATCTTCTTTAATGAACGATTCACTTTATTGATTTTCCTGGATGGCCATCTTGAAATTCCATGTTGCCTGCATATCCTTTTTAGAGTTGTTGGGCAAACTGTTCAAAGAAGAAATATTTGTTAAGAAAAACCTGACATTTTTAACAAGTATTACCTTCCAGAAAAACTTAATTATCTTTATAAAATTTAGAATGGTTTTAGTCCTTTAAAATCCTTTAGAAAAATAATTTAAAATAATCATTTTAGTCTCTCATTTATTGTTAAATCATTTTATGTTGCATTCATTATTTTTTTTAGTAAGTAGAAACTCCGGGAGAGAAGAAAATATATACATTGGCTTCGGAACTTGTATGCATGAAATTAAACAATGGAAACAATTCCATATCTGATTGAAGACAAGCACCGCTCACATAACCCAAAAACATTAATCCGAGGTAAAAAAATGTGAAGAAATTCATCAGGGTCTCACCACCAATGCTTTTTGCAGCATCTTTCAGACTACCAGAAAAGTATTGTTGGAGAACACTCAAACTAACATTCTTCTCCACTGTACTTCTCTTTTTCTCAACCTGTTTTCTTGATCCATTCGTTACCTACAAGACAAATTCCTACGATGTCAAAGTTCAATCCCAAAATCATTACACCAAGTTACAAAGTTGAAGCATAAATTCCATTAAGTTTTTTCTTCATTAGTTCACTCCGTTTGTAACAGTTGAAATGTGATATATTTATCCCCGTTTTAATTTCATTATACAGTAACTTTTGGAACAAATGCTTTCTCAAATTAAGCATTCATTTCAAATTAAATTTCGTAAGGGTAAAAGGATAAAGGATATGGTCAAGATGTACCTGGCTATGAGCAGCTTCAATTCCATTGTTAGATGCTTTCAAGGACATCTTCTGGACCGAATCATGATCCTCATTTATGAATGCTATCTGAGAGTTTCTCCTGGACATAGGAAAAAAACATGTGACTTTTTCCTTAGGAAACCCAGCAAGAGATGATTCTATTCCTGTTAACTCAGCGTCTGAAACTGTTCTCAAACTCCTACAAATTCTCCGCATGGTACCTGAGAGATTGTCCAATAAAAGTTGTTGTTCTGAACTCCCTGTCATGTTCACAGGCAGAAAGAATTCTAATATGTAATCATCATCATTGGTATAGGTACTCCTTAGCCGAATTGCAACTGCAGCATTCAAGTTATATTTGCGTGCATGATGAACAAGGGGGTATTCACTAATATCATATGTCTTCACATCAGTATAGAAGAATGGATGATTTGATTGAAGAGCTTTCCCAGCTATACCTTGCCCTTCCTCAAGATGATGTTCGACGCATGCATGAACAAATCCTCCTAGCGCTCCATCATTTATATAGCAAGCTGATTCCTCAATACATAGCACACATTTTTCATTAGAACTTGCATGACCCTCTTTGATTCGTATTCTCTCAGCTTCATCTCCTATTCCCTCACTGTAGCAACAGGGAATCCATGTCAGTGCTAGTGGCAATCTATGTGCATGACACACGGCACGTAACACATCAATTATCTCTGTTAAAGCATCTCTTTTGTTACTTGATAGACACTGCAGAAAAAGAACCACTCAAATAAATTGTTCAGAAAACCAGATAAGAACACTTCTCAAGCCCCTCCACTCCACTGCAAATTCAGAAAGTTTAGCTTTGCCTTTATGGTGGGGAAAGATCAATATGATAAATCTTGATCATATGGATTATCATTACCTGGGGAAGAAGTCGTGGAGGCATAGTAGTCTTTAAATTTACAAGCTGCATAAAATCATCACAAGGACATTTATTATTAGTACCTTTGATGATAACATAATATGAAAATATCTAAAACATAGAAAAAGGCTACTTTTCCAAGTAATTGGAGAGTGGATCCATAACTAAACTGACTGAGATGCTTTAGAAACATATTAGCACGATCCTAGAGGTTTCTCAAACACGTAAACTGAAGTTACATTTTAAATAACTCTGTACTAATGAATGTAGGATGTGCCTATATAGGATGTGTATAGATTAAACAGATTGGTATAATATGAAAATTCCAATTTTTGCAAACTAATCCTAGTTTGATCACAAGAAATATGACAGAACCAGCACACATGCTCAGAAATCTTCCTTCCTAACTTCCCCTCAACTACAGCAAGAGATATACAACAATTATATACAAAAATACAAGATAGGATACTTTGTCAGGCAAGGTAGAAATTTGTCAATGAATAACACTGATTTTCCAAACAGACATAATATAAGAAGCAGTGAGACAGGAAACGGCAGAAATTAAAGTGTTACGCTGGAAATAGCAGAAGAAAAATCCACCTGGAGTGCATGAGTGACAATTTCTAATTCTCTGTCAAAATTAGGCTTTTCTTTTGTAGTGACCAGTTCCAATACAGCACATGGCTCTTGAGAATGCATATCAGATATAGGAAGAGCAATAGATCCACGAATTTCATGATTCATTGCATGGTCCAACCTTAAGTACTCAGTTTTATTATAGTAACCAACATTGGAAGTCCATTCAGGAACATGTGAAATAAACACGCGAGTAGGAAGGCCCGAACATGATCCTTTCTTTCCT